GAAAGAGAATAAAAGAGAAAAATAAGAAAGAAGTACTGTAGTCTACTGAAAATAAACACATGTAGGTTGAACATAAATGGTTTTCCATGTTCATTCTTTCAGATTACCAAGCAATAACATCCCATGCTGTTCTGCCATGCTTCCGCATGCTGCAAAAAAGTGGAGCTCTGAAAAGCAAGCTGAACATGAATAACCATTGTAGTATTTGACCCTTTCAAACATCTTTCCACGTAGGCTGCAGTGAAATAATTTCACTTCCTAACTACCTGCTCAACATGTAAACAAAAGCCCCAAACCACCCACTTACTTTTCTAATTCAACATGAATTCAAGTGTGTATCAATATGCCTTCCAAAATGCATGTTTCTGAAGTGCCTCAATATAGGCATGTGAAGGCAAGACACGCTGCACAGCCCACCTCATTATACCCCTGCTTCCTCCATTGCCTTGAGCACAGAAGGCCTGTAGTGGAGAGCATCTCTTCAGGCAACCTGAGCCTTCATAGTATGGTGTTTCATTCTGGATCACTCTTATACCCTGTGCATTCCAACTCTACTTTTAATTTACAAAGCAACAACAAAATGCAACCTGTGAGCCTGATCCTGTTAGAACAAGTGCACTCACTCCATCCATTAAAGGTGATACGTGACCTTGCTGGTTGCGTAGCAAGGTTAGGTAACCAACAGACAATATCTTGGAGGACATCAGAGATACTCTGGAGGTGGTGAAAGAGAAAACTAGCCTTCAGACGCTGGTGACACTTCGAGTCAAATGGAATTACGTGGGCAGGGAACTAAACCAACTGTATTTCTGATCTGGATTAACACATCCAAATTTGTGATCAAAATGTGTTTTCACCCCCGGTGCCTGCACTGGATAAGGGCAGATCGAGTCTGTGATGCCTACAAATCCCAGCTGTCTTTGTAGTGGCAGAGGGGAGATCTGTACCTTTGAGAAGAACCCACAGTCACACACAGCAGTGGGAAGGGCAAGTAGGATACATAGCAATATCCGGGCTTGACTCATTTCCACCCTGAGAGGGGGGTAGCCCTGAGACTGCACTGAACTACAGTTTTCTCCAATAGCCAATACCTAACGCCCACCTAATGTGGATAAAAAGAGCACCTGAGCTCAAGGCTGACCTGAGGACCGGACTTGGAAGTTGACCTAACTGCAGTCTCCCATGTATTTGAAAGACAAGCACTCTCCCTCCTGCCTGGGCTACTGGTGAATAATGAGGGCACATACAGGAATGTATCTGGTACTTGTTAAGAAAAAGCAAATGTATTTGTTGACAGTTGTCTGGGAATAAATATGCACTGAAAGGTATTAAAAATTTAGAAAGACCTCTGAAGGAGATGGTAAGGGAATATCAAATGAACTGGGGTGTGATCTGTGACCAGAAAGCTAATGTTTGGTAGAAAGTGGTGGATAAAGGCTCAAAAGAACAGTCTGGGGGAAGAAAAGTGTTCTAGGATATAGATAAGGAAGTAAAAATGCAGAAGGGAAAGAAGGAAGACGGCTCAAAATGACAAGATGACATTACAGACGACACACACTACATTTCTATCATTAAAAATTAGTATCAAGCTACTCAATTTTACACAAAGACATACACACAGATGCATACAGTGGGAATGGAGGCAAGAGCTGGAAAGTGCGTTCCCTCTCGTTGTTGGCCCACGTAGATGCTCCCACATGAGGGGTGAAGAGTCACCTTTTAGAAATACCAAATATACCAAATGCGCACAGTGTCTCACATCAAAACATTCACTGGCAGACTACCTCTAGGAGAGGATCAGGGTAAAGAGACAAAGCAAATTCCCTGCTAATCCAGCTTGTGTATGCAAATCCTCTCTGTGAGGAGAGGCCAGGGCTGCCCTGTGCCGGACACAGCTCCAATGGCCCCACTGCAAGCCATGGCTGAGCCCCGCAGCCATGCCGGTGGTGCCTTGGGGCAAGCCTGTGTCAGAAAAGGGCAAAACGCTGCATGGCAGTGAGGAGTGACAGGAAAAGATGGGGGGAAACAGCCCTGCAAGCACCAAAGTCAGTGAGGGGAGGAGGTGCCCCCGGCACTGGAGCAGGGATTCCCCTGCAGCTGCGGAGAAGACCATGGTAGAGCCAATATCCACACTGCAGCCTGTGGAGGACACCATGGTGGAACAGGTGAATATTTCCTGAAGGACTGCATCCCGTGGGAATGACCTACACTGGCTTGGGGGAAAAGTACAAGGAGGAAGGAGCAGCAGAGAAGAGCTGTTATGGACTGATGGCAAAACCCTGTTTCCCATCCCCTGGTCACTGTGCACTGGTCACTGTGGAGAGGAGGTAGAGGAGATGTGAACAAAGGAGTGAAGTACTTGGGCCTCAGACAAAAGGGGTTGTGGAAGGAAGGTTCTTTAATTTTTGTCTTTGTTTCTTACCATTCAAATCTACTGGCAATAAATTAATTTTCTTTAAGCTGAGTCTGCTTTGTCTGTAACAGCAACTGGCAAGTGATATCCCTGTCTTTATCTTAACCCATGAGGTTTTTCATTGTCTTTTCGCCCCCTGTCCTGTTGAGGAGGGGGAGCGAGAGAGCGGCTGGGTAGGTATCTGGCAGGTGGCCAAGGTCAACCCACCACAATTTTATTCTTAAAGCAGGTCAACCAGTGAAGAAATCCAGCCAAGCTTTTTATCATGGCTGCTTTATTGCAGGGAGTGGTCATATCCAAACATGACTACCAGGGCTTTATCATGAAATCTTTTTACTCAGCGCCATGGCAGCCAGAAGATATTATTTCCCTCGCCCCACTTCCAGCTGCTTTTCAAGAGCCTCTATCAGACATAGCTCTTGTCTGTTGGCTGAACTGCTTGTGTTGCAACTTCCCAACTGGTTTAATGAAAATGAGCTGGGCTGCCTTAAACGTGTAAAGGATTTTGCTACCCAGGCTGAATTTTGATTGAAACTGGATTAGACTATGTTCACACAAACGGCTCCACTGGTGTTACCTGACAGGACAGTAAACAGGTAGGAGGAGGGAAGGCAGGGAGACACAGATCTAGTGGGGAGTGTTGGCACTCCTGCAGATGGAAGAGACGATGTGATCCAGTCAGACTTTGACTTCTGAGTTGCCTTTACTGGCCAGGTTGTCATTTTCTCTGTAGCTTGGACGTCCAGACATATCATCATGGTTTTACTATTTGTAGGCTGTGAGTTACCATATATTTGATTTGGAACTGGAAAAGTTGCAACTTATTTACAGAAAAGTGAGTTTATTATAATAGGATAGTTGTTTCTAAGGTGAAAGTCACAAACTTGTATCTGTGAATTTCTACAAGAATCCACAAGGAGCGCTCAATGTTCTCTCCCTGATGTCCATGCTCGCTGAGCATAATTATCACAGATACATAATTACCACAAGACTAGAAAGAAAAGCAAGTCCCTGAAGACAAGTAAGTGGGAACTAACACCTTTGAAGACCAACTTCACATGGAAGAAGAGGGTGCTTTCTTCATTTTTCAAGAACAGTATAGGCAAGGATGCCTTTCTTCTCTGGAAAGTTACCACTAGAAAAGAGATTAAATACTTTCTTTGACTCCCACAATTTAATAGTGCTTCTTCCCTGCCCTTCTGACTGCCCCAGAAACTTCAGAAGTCTTCAACACTGACCCAAGACTTCCTTTTCTAGTACAATTACTCAAATAAAAGATCCAAGTTAAAAGAAAAGGGAAGTTTTCTGAATGCCCTGGAAGTAATTTGTAACTCTCTTACTTCCTACGTTCGTCATCTAGCTCGGGTCGTCTTGTCCAGGTTGACATGGCTTTGGTAGAGTTGGACTCCTACATATTTGTTCTGTAATCATCTCTCTCTTGTTAAGCTCTGTTAATTCTGTGCCATTGTTCCTGAGCAGAACTGGCAAATAGTTTTAAAAACACAACAACCTACCCCAAAGAGCAAAGAGATTTGAGGAAGAAAGAGTGATGGGCTTGAATAATGGTCTAACCTTAGTATTCCTTCAGGACTAGTCAGTATTTGTTCTGCACAATCTCTCCTACTCAAAGATTTAACAGAAGAGAAAGTCACGTCTTTCACTTGTTAGAGCAAATCCTGATGTTGCCAGAACACAAGAGCCAACGGTTTTGATTAAATAGGCCCTCTTCCAATATCCCTGTGTAGGTCAACATAAAGCAATACCTTTCTTGGGATGTAGTACACTGATAGTCTGAAGGTCCAAAACCAATGTTATTATTAACCTCTTTCTCTACTGTGTCCATGACTACACTAAAAAAAAAAAGAAGAACAAAAGCGAAAATAAAAGAGCCCGGTGACATCCAATTAGATGTAGATATAAAACCCAAATTATTAGTGTAAGAGGCTGCAAGTGTTATTATACAAGACATTTTCCTTCTAGGTAACTGAAGAGTAAGAAAGGGTCAAACAGCAAAAACATACAGAAAGGATAAGAGAATTGAACACTCTAGAGAATTTGGTGAGAAGACACACAATACAGTACATTCAGTAAGAGTGAATGTTGAAAAACAGGACTGAACAGCATTGTTGAACTACATCGATAAAGACTAAAGCTAGATTTCTTATCCTTTCTTTTGGTATGTGAGTTACGGAGTTTTCCAGCAGTGCTTGAAACAAGGCATTGAACAACAGTAAACAGATTTTTTTTTTTTTTTTTTTAAGTACAGTATTTAATTCTGCAAACACCTCTGCTGCCTCAGAATACAGAACATCATTATATTGATTTGACAACAGCACACTGACACGTTGTGATGAAATTTGGTTGCTGTATTGTGAAACACTCATACTGACATTTTGCCCAGTGAGCAGTGTTTCATTGCTAAAGAATACACAGGGTAAACCAGTGCAAACTGCAGGTGTCTGTGTTTCCAAGAACAAAAGACAGGTCATCCCTGAGAAATCTGCCTGATCTAGAACTAAGAAACCCAGTGCTTTGACAGTTCAGATAACCTCACCATTAAACAACTTTCAAAGAAGCACCAGTTTCCTGTTCTGTAAGCTGAGCATTAATTGAAAACATGTTTTTACATGCTTCTCTGAAAAATTCTGATTCACTACTGAAAACTAAAGCCCATCTGATCCAAATCTGGTAACAAACAGCATTAGCATGTGCAACTCACTAATACATGCAAGGAAGGGATGGATTCCAGCAGCCAGTTTTGCAGTTTTCTGGCTTTATTTTACTGTTTTTTTCCTTTTGATAGAAACAGAGACCACTGCTCCTCTGCAGTTTGCATGATTTCTCATTTAGGAATAAGTGACACAGACTCTTACCTCCTCATACACTCCAGAGCCTGGGTGAAGACCTGTGGAGCCATTCCATGTTCATGCTGTAGGATCAAACATTGCTCTAGGGTGACCGACATGGCAGTCCTATCCTTGGCACTTTTACAGCTTGTAAATCGAACACCATTTAGTCGGCGGCATATCTAGAAACGGGATATACAATTCATCATTCCTTCCTCACGCATTGCCTTCTGTCAGAGAACACACCTGTACTTCTCAGCAAGACACAAATGTTGTGTAGGACTTTGATGTCAAAGTTGTCGTCTTTGAGTGAGCAGAACTTTGTTACACGAGGTGTAGGAAAAATAGTGATGTGGAAAATACATTTATCTCCCCATGTCTGATTCTAGAGGAGGTTTACAACCTGGCAGCATTTCCAAGCTACACATAATCACATGAAGAAATTGAAACATCTCAGTAATAAAAAAGGGGAAAATACATACACACACAGCAAATCAACTGAACCATGCAGAGATGCTTAGATTAACAAGTACCTCAGCAGCTTGCCAAAGGATATCAACATTCTTATTTTTCCTTGCATGTACATTTTGTCCCAGAAATCTTAACAGTTCAGGCAGGCACGTCTGACTACGAGATCGAGGTAGACCTATAAACCAAACAAAACCAACTCCACTTACTTATCTGTATTCAACACTTTTACAAAGATAAGTTACATGGAAAGTGTTCCTGTATGTGTGTTGCAAACACAATCACGTTTTCTTGAAACTATCAACGCTTACAACAATTAATCCAATTCTTAATTACTTAGTACCACCAACAAAACAAATTCCAGTTTAATTAAACTCAACTGGAAATATACATTCAGGTTATTTAAAACTTCAGGGGCTCAGAATCTGATAGCAATATAATAGCAAAGTGAACAAAGGGAGCAAGATTGGTATAGTATCTCGGTTTGTGTGTCACAGACATACTTGCTTTCACGCACTGTTCAGAACCGTAAACAAACAGGTAGCTGCCTGCATTATCATCCCTCAGAGGTGACAGGATACCACATACGTCTCCACAGAAACTGTGAAAATACCATTTTATATTCTGCTCACATTTTCAATTTTAAATTTTCAAGCTGGCCAGTTTTCAGTTACAAGAAACAGTCTCTCCAACAGGACACTGCACCGCCATAATCTGTTTATTAGTATTTCACTAAGTGGAAATAAATCAGCTGAAATTTTTCAGTCTTTCAAAATGCTTTCAGTAGTCATATGCTCAAAATGTTACACATCATCTCTTACATATGTAGCAAGATAGTCAAGACAATCAATGACAAGTATTAAATAGGTCTTTTGTTTTTAAGGGGTGACTACAGAGGACACCAACTAAGCTACAATTGGATTGACAAGTATTAAATAGGTCTTTTGTTTTTCAGGGGTAACTACAGAGGACACCAACTAAAGCTACAATTGGACAAATAAGGAGGTACACACTGTTAGAAAATGACTATGTGACAAAAAGAACCCCATATGGGTGATACATGAGGTTTTATGTTTGGACCACATCTCTTCTCACAGCAAATAGTATGATAGCAATATTGTGCCTCTCCTGGTCTGCTGTGCTTGAACTCTACATCCAGAAAGAAAGTAACATCTGTAAACAAAAAGAGGGCACAGACCATCTGCCCAAGTATTTCTAAAGACAAGGAGAGCTAATGGAACAAGGACAAGGAGCTAATGAAGCTAAGACAGTAATTCACTTAGAAATTCTGCGATGCGTAGAATTAAAAGCACAGGGACAAGGACAGTGGATCGGGAATCAACTTCCCTTCTCTATTGTTCTTGAAGGGGACACTTCCTACAAGCTGCCAGCAGATACTTCACTGAGCCTCTTGTCCCCTAGAATAATCTGTTTGGTTTTCCTTTTGCCTGTACTTACCGCAGACTACACCATTGGGTGGTCATAATAACCATCCGTTTTACAGTTGAATTTAAAACATTATTCTCTCTTGACAAGGGTTCATGAAAAAGTATGTTTCACTTTGTATTATGTCCTATATATCACCACAGAGGAGGTACAAAACACACCCTCAGACCTTCCTTATGACAAGCACAGTCCCAGATCTGTCCATACAGTCTCAGCTTTTTGCAGAGCATCTCTAACACATCTGCTGGCACACCTGCAATATTTTTTTCACACTTCTAATCAAAACTTCTGCTTAATGTTTATAACCACAAACCATGTGTTCAAGCTGCCTTGCAAAACCAGCTACAATATGTCTGCATTTACCCAGCAAAAACAGTGAAGCAGACGGAAGTTCTGGCAGAGGGCAGATTTTCCCCCTTTGTGGTATTCATTTCATGTAGCAGGGACCAATGTAATGACAAGTAGCCAGAATAAGGGAGAAAAGGCAGATGGATACAAGATTATTTTGTTTTCTTTCACTGTTAAGCTGCACGCCAACTTTATGCACAACTTCAAGTTACTTGAATAAAAACCTCTGGTATAAGGCGTGTTACTGGTAAATGAGAAACTCAAGGTTGTGGCACCAGCGCTCTTTAAAAACAGAAGAGAGTAAGTATAAAGTTAAAACAGAGTTCAAAAACGCATGAAAAGAGAAGAAACAGATGACATGACAGAAAACAGACTGCAGGATAAAAAAAAAAATGTTTCACGAAAAAAGGCAAAAGTTAAAAGATGACTGGATCAGCATAAGAGGTTTGGGGGTGAGGGAAGAGACTGAAGTAAAAAAAAGGCAAGCAAAATCAAAGAGGAGAGGAAGGAGCTGAATGGGAACTATTATGGAAGACTATGGACAGAGATATGAAGGAGAGGGGAGAAAAGCAGAGCAAAAATCACCTTAAACTGATTAACTTTTGAACTTTACAACGAAGTCTGATGATAGACTACTATATAATAAAAAATTAAAATTTTGCAGCTAAAATTTCAGCGAATTAATTATGCAGGATTATGAAAGCCTGGAAGGAGGGAAACAGTTTCTGCTCTCAGCTGCATAAAAAAAAATCCAGGGTAACTGAAAGCACAGTAACATACTTTAACAGACAGAATTCTTGCTATCATGTTGTATGTCACTGCATTTGTATTTCTGCAATAAAACTGCAATTGTGGGACCCATGAAATTAGCTTACAAGAGGCTTGATACTAATAATACTGAATCAATGAATTTTCACTGTTTTTGTCGTCACATGTAAATAACATTTATGCCACTGCCTAGTAAAAAACAGTAACAAGCAAGAAATATTTCTATATAACCAGTAAAATACAAGCTTTTAGGTATTGTCTTTGTTCCAGGTGCTAGACTTCTCTGTTGCTGGCTGCAGATCCAACAATTATAGGCAAGTGCCAAAGGACAAGCAGAGGGAAAGTGATTAAGTTCCTAAAAACTGGTGGTTGCTCTCTGTGCAGGTTATCGCAAGTACAGAGAACATGACCCAAAACTGCACATAAAGTGCTGCTGCTATGACCTCCCACTTTTATGCCTTCCCCTCATAGCAATCTAACTGCCTAGCTGCATGTTTATACAGTACATAATGCCACTTAGAAAGCGTGGCAAAGTAAATTAAAAAAGGAAAGTTATTCAGACTGACCTTTAAACCTCTTGGATCTGCTCTACTTAGTAGTAACTTATCAAAATAGAGTTGCATCATTTCTTGGAGATTACTAATGCTGGTGTATCATCAACTTTTAAACAACATGAAGCAAACGAATGAAAAAATCAGCCTGACTTGTGCTGTTCAACCAAATTTGCTATTAATTACCAAATACTTACAATCATCAGGCAAAACTTCCTTGAACTGCTCAAAATACGAATTCAACCGCACTAAGCTTTCCATGTTAATTACTTCTTGCAGTGAGGTGTCTCCAAACCTTTAAAAGGTGAACAAAGCAACAGTTGAGCCTAATGTAAAAGGCTTCTCCTCTTCTTCGAAACAACTGCACTTGCCAATATGACTACCAGAAGACAGTGTTTAGATTCATCCCGTTAAATTTCTAACCACTCAAATACAGAGTAAAGTGTAACAGAGAAGTGTTGTAGTAATTCCATTACAGAAAACCAAAATATACATGAGGAGAAAAGTAGGAAGGAAGGTGAAAGGAAATCTTGTAGAAAATAGTACTTCGAATTCTTCAGCTTTTGTGTCTCTCTTTCAATATCATATAACCAACTGGTAAAGCATTTTGCCAAAATTCAAACTTTTCATAATGGATTTTCTAGTTTAGTTCATAAGCTAATAATAAGCATAACATCAGTAGACAGGATTGAGAACTTTGACTTCAGATATGTATATGAAAAATACAGGTCCAGGAGTAATAAACCATGAATGTAATAAATATTGTCAACAATGCCATGATTCATCTCATCTAACTATATCTACATACATAGACACACACACAGTGTTGACATCTGTAACTATGCTCATCACGTTGGGCTCCCTTTACAGGCAACAGAGGACAGCAGTAATTGCTGGAATGCCTTTGTTAGGGTTTTTCTAGTTGTCCGCCATCAAACTGCACGCTCCACCCGGGGACCAAGGCTGCTGTCACAGCATGCATGTGCCTGACTTCATTGCAGTTCTCCTTTGGAGCAGTGATCTGTCAATGTATTCTTTACAAGGTATGGCCATAACAGAGGGAAGCTCTGATGGCTCTTCCAAAACTGAACAGTTTCCCTAGCAAATATAAATACATAACTATATTTTTCAGCTCCACAAGAACAGTGTTCCATTACATAAGTACTGCAAGGATATGTTAAAACAAAGGTCCGACTAGCCCATTATCCTGGTTTTTGACAGTGGCCAGAAGAGAGAGTCTAGGGGAGAGTGAAAAACCAAGAGGGCAAATACACAGCCATACTCAGAATGATCTCTCAGCCTCTAGTGATCTGTCACTCACAGAGGTCTCAAGTCACAAGCAAGCACTTCTGTGTTAAACAGCCCATAATACTTTTTCTCTTCTGTAAATTTACTTCTGAACCACATAAAACTGCACTAGACTCAAACCCGTGAGGTAAGGAGCTCCACAACTACGTGCCATATGAAGAAGGATCTCCTTTTGTTTGTTTCTCATTTGACAACTTCATTTAATATTCCTTTCTTTGTGTACTGGAGAAACTGAATCACCATTAGTAACGTGCAACTCCATAGAGACATACTTCCAGAAGTCCCAGAAGGTTAAGCTTGCATGACTGAATACATACTTCTCTGCTAGGGTTTGCTGCTCATTGATTCCCACATTGAAAAGAACAGGCTGAACCCTCAGTAACATGCCACTTTGAATCTCTCGCGGCAACAAATCAAACAAGGCGCTTGGCAAAGGGATCCTCACATTAAATCCATCACTGCAAATAAACAAACAGCTATTAGACATAAAGATCAAAAAGCTATATTCCAAGAACGTGTTATTTATGTAAAGGATAACATCTAGAACATAATATAACTATTGAAAAATAAGTATCAGTCAAAACTGAGGACTTTAAGGAACTGCCACAGCTTGCTCCTAACCAGAAAAGCTATTCTAGTTCAAAAACAAACCTGAAGCAACCTGTAATGTTGATTTTTACATGCTCATGGACATTTCAATCGGTTCTCTCAATTTCCTGACAAAAGCTGATTTTGCTCTGCTTATCAATACTGCAGCTCTCATACAACTTGGGTAGAAAAAGCCAAATTTTGGCATGTCCTTATCTCATCAAGAGTAAAGTATATTTGATTTTAAAGTGATAAAGGCTAGTGATGATGAACAGGCATAAAAGGATACATTTTTGGGTACAGTAAGTAGTATTGACATTTCTGAGCAGAAGGGTAGAGGCAACGATAGTAGCAACCCAAGCATAATTTGAAGGAGGAGCTAACAAAAGCACTGATACAGAATTTATTACTCAGACCTCCAGGCTGTTCCTGCAGCACAACAGGTTACCTTGGGTCAGCTGAGCTACAGCAAAGAGCACAGTGCATGCTTTATCTCATGGCAAATGTGAGGTAACGCAACTCATCCCATAGCATCAGTGTAGACTAAGGTATGACATATTACCCTATATTGGAACTGCCAAGACACAAGTTACTGTGGTTTGTGTGCTGTGTGTTAACCTATCAGCAGCAGTACCTTGGTGTTAGATCCAAGTCTTTACAAAAAGCAAAAGAGCTCTCAGAAGTATATAAGGTAATCAAAATTGGTCTGTCTCCCATTTATGTTGGATGGACACACAAATTCTATGCTACACCTGAAAGCAAAAAACCTGTTTTCACCTCTAAATGTAAACCTTCCAACAGTTTGCACCAAAAGAAATATGCATGATTTCTTTCTTCTCTTTCTTGAGTAAAATCTAGACAGCAAAAATAAGCAACACTATCAGACCTGAAACTAATGAAGACTAGTTTCCTTTTTTTTTTGCTGATTAGTGTCCTATAGCTGACGGCAAGTTTCATCTACAGATTTGCTTTGAAAGGCATTTTCTGTCAGCTGTCAGGCATTTCCACAGGTCTCAGCAATATCCGTAACATACATGATTGTACTGCAGACCTCCTTCAACCCAGGCACTTTTCACTGCATGTGAACCTTAACTTCACGAAGTTCCTCTAAATGTTTTTAATGTGAACATTAACTTCACGAAGTTCCTCTAAATGTTTTTATTTTTAGGAATTCTAGTTCTTTTTCAGATGTGGATGAAGCTGGGCAAAGCTCCAGGGGAGCTTGGTACAGCACACTGTAATCAAATAAGCCTTATTTCATCCAGGAATCAGATTTGAAACTCAAAGTTTCTAAAGACTCTGAAATACAGAAACAGTAAAACACCGACTTTTGTGAGGCCTCTGTCCTTCCACAGCTTCGTCCCCATGTGTGAACTGGCTCCCTCTGGACAAGAACTCTGTTGCAGGGGCCCATCAGCCCCAAATCAGAAACCAGCACAAGGCCAGCTGATAAGTGGCTGAGGCATTCAAACTGAAGTGTGACTCTGTTTGTTGTAAATGCTTCCCATCATAATACAGCTGCAACAGATCACTCCCACTCCACTTTACGTGAGGACGTGAATGTTTGTTACTTCAGACTTTTAAAACAAAAATAGCTTTTAAGCTCAAACTTGAAAATGTCTCTTTGCAGACAACTGGCCAAAATGAGCAGCAGTCTGGTGTTTCAAAAGCATCTGTAAGTTAAAGCCAGCTTGGTCCTGATAGTTTGGAAACTGATCCTAAATAGGCCTCACCTCAGCAGCAGCCCATCAGCTGCCTGATATACATTCCGTGTCCCATGGTGCTAATGGCGGCCCATTACTCAGTGGTATACAGTAACGCACCAATCAACTCATCAACAGCACTGAATTTCAGACAATGAGACCAGCCTCAAACGTCAGTCTGAAATTTAAAACCAGCACTAGTGCTTGGGAAAATATTGGATACTTCTGGCTTATGATTGTGGAAGGATAGCTCAAGATGATATTTACGCATAAAACTACACTGCCATGGTTTGAGCCTTGCCATATATCCCTTTTCAGCTCAACTCCCTGTAAAATGAAACACCAGCAAAAACGAGTAAGTCCACTTCAAAACATTTCTTTGAAGTTCTGAGAAGAAAAACAGCACAGTACAAAAGCACATAACTCATTTCAAGTGCAGTATCACTGCTTCTCCCATCTGCAGTCCCACCCTACTTTCTGCTCCTTCCCCTCCATTTTTTTTTACCGATTTCCAGTGATGACCGGCAACATGTCAGTAGATGTATTTGATGTGGCCTGAGTTACTTTAAAGGTTACATTCCTCAAGTCCATGATTCCCAAACTCATGTCCTCAAGCATTGCCAGCTCCTCACCTAAATCAAGGAGGAAAAAGGGAATCATAATCATTACTTGTTATGTACAACTTCCCTTTATCGATTTGATGACGACTGTAGGTCATCGCTCTCATACTGAAGTTCTATGGACAAAGAGGGTCTGGAGCCCAGGCCTTCACCTTGACCTACAGACTGCAGACAATGTCACGATTGACTTTACAACTTCAGCAAGTTTAGAAAACACCAATTATCTAGCACAGTCCACTATTCTTCAAGTAGATTATATGCTGATTTTCCAGTTTAGACGATGCTAGTAAGTACTTCTCAGCATTGTCACAGCCACGATATCCTTTGTGTTGGAAAAGCTTGTTGGAAAAGTTACAGTGTATTCCGGATTTGCTCACTTTATACTGTAGGATTACAGAAGGTCAAGAAAAATAAAAAAGCTTATTTTGGGCACAGTTTCTCCCAGCTTACCAGCATTTATATCCATTTCTGTTCTGAAAAAATGATCAATATGCTAGGTTTTTTTTAAACCTTTGACATTATATCATAAGACAAGTACACTTTATCTTTTAGAAGTAATTCAATTAAATGTGAAGAAATTCAGAGTTGTTAGCTAATTAAGTACTCCAGATATAATATGGTTTCGCACTTCAGTATTCAAAATCATTTTGTAGCTGAGCTGCAGATTGTCCCAAACACTCGTATTTTGCTGTAGCCAATTTAATGCAGAATTTGCTGACTCCACAGCTAATACCACCCACTTGCTCTATGCCTTTACCATAAGTGCTCAGCAGGCTCTCAAACTGTGCCAGCAAGCCAATGGTGTAGAGTTGTCTCAGAAATCCGTCATCATGCAGGCAATTCCTCAGCTTGATAATGAAACCACAAATGAGAGCTGTCAGCTGCAGGAGAGAAAACAGACAAGAGTGAAATGATTCAAGACAAAAAAGGCTCATCAGCCCCAAACGGAAACAACATCACATATAAGAGGTGTCATAAAATCGATCAGACTGATGCTCTTTTCCCTTAAATGTCACTCTTCTTTTCCTTGCAGCTGAAGAGAGACAACCAACCAACAAAAAAGCAAAACATTCATAAAATCAGATTTAGGGCACACTGCCTTCATCTCACAAGCTCTCCCACAATGGGACTGCTGTTGATCTCACATCTGTTTGTTTTCTGGAATCAATCACTTGTATTAGGGTCTACAACTTACAAATTACAAAAGAGTCTCCTGAGAGAACTGTTTTAGCTACACATGGAAAAGCAACACAGCTCGTTCCAGGCCATGATTTTCGATAGTATGAACAAATTATTTTTTTTTTAATTACATTTGGACAAAGCTTAAGAATGCAATACCTGTTTGCATCATGCACAGATTCAAACTCTAGTGTTACAAGATATTCAGGACAAGGTCCTGAAGATGTAGTACTAGGATCAGTACTAAGATCCAAGATCAGTACTAGTGTTAATTCACTCCGTCAACAAAGGAATTTCCCAGGTGACTGCCATACGCAACACAGCTGTATGACTTTGTTACAGAAGGAAACAAAAGGGAAAAAAGTTCTGTTTCTGATGGGTAAACTTCTTCAAAGCATTGAGTTTAAAAATTTAAAAATTATCTGCAATATGAAGTGGGTTTTGTATAGAAAAATTCCCTTCTCTATCTGATATATTACATTTTGCGACAACAGCCCTACCAAACAATGTCCAAGAGATAAGCTGTTTGAAATAAATGAATGAGAAACTGATTTCACAGGGAAGTAGACACACTACAGAAGTGTTGCAGGAAGAAGAAATGTGGAAGGTTTTTTAGTGCAGACACCTGCTAGTCAGCAGCTGACACAAGAGACTCCAGCAGGCCCAGAAACAGAACTTCTAGGAAAGAAACCTCAGCACTCATTTCTCTCCCTGTAGCTGGACTTCTCTCCTTAGGTACCGCAGGTTCTGTTGGTTTTCGCAATGCAGAAAACAACAAAAAGTAACTGAGGGAGTACACTTTCTGCTGGTGGGCTTCCCCGCCCCCCCTGCCACCTCTTTCACATCTGACTTCTGGTTTTAGTTTGGTGGCATTGGAAGACAAAGATTGTTTCTGTAGACAGCAGTATATTTTCACTGGTTCTGGAATAATTTCTTTTCAAATAGCAAATACATATCCAAGGGGATACTTAAGCTATATATTGTCAAATGCATGCAAGTGACCAGTAAGGACAGGATAGCACAGCCTGTGAGAGGAGATCATAGTGTTAAACCTAAGAGTAGAATAAATCTGAAAACTTGTGACAACAGTAATCTTTCATATTTCATATAAACCCCACCACATGTCAAAGTGGAATCACATCATGCATATTTGCTTGCTTACAGTTTGGCAGAAGACAACATCCCTGCGATACTGAAGGCTCAGGCAGAGCCCTATTGTCGGGGCGCTGTCCTGCATTAATAAAAAGACCATGGCTTTCTTGGCCTTGTCACTCATCATGGCTACGCAGTCTGTGAGTGTTGTCAGCAAGGGATAAAGAGCTTCACTCCATTCGCCTGGTTAAAAGAAAAAAATTAGCAGCACTGTGAGTACTTTATTTGAAACAAACGAACACACAGTAAGAAGAAACCTCCTGTTGCAAGTCAAAGTTGCTGATAATTCACACTCAGGGTTTGTTTTATTCAGGCTGCCTGGTTACTCCCTGCTTGTTATTAATTGGGTAATCTTACACAGTGACTATCACATGAGGAAAATATGGAGAATTTTACTCTGTAAGGCTGTTATGACTTTCCCAACCATTTAATAGCTCCCAGATTTGTGCCCACAGAACAGGCTATACAATAGCTCATTTGGAAAGCGCAACAGAAAGATGAATACTTATATACACAAGTGTATATAACTACGTGTGCATATTCAAACTCACCCTTTCACAGTGCATGCATGGACAGACAGCATGGAGTCCATCGTATAACAGAAATAGTGAACGTCTGCTTAGCCATTTCTGTCAATGAGATTTCTCCCCAGTATCTTGCCTTTGAATCTTTTGTGGACTCATAGGTATATCACATTCAACTGCCTCATCATCTTATTGATCCTTGTTGCACCTCACTGAGGCAAGATGATGCTTATTTCCCATTTGCAGCATAGGAATAATAAGGCAGAGAGGTGAAAAATTCATGTAGGTACTCTTCTAAGTGTCCTCTGTCTGCTGAGTGGCTTTGAAGGTTCAGACCTAGCTAGCAACAAACACCAAGTACAGTGATTTAGATGGGAGCTAGCTGGATCCTTGTAAGCAGTTCGAAGCTTCACTTGCATTGAAACACACAAGTCACTTCCCAGAGGGACTCGGTTCAAGGTCCTACACAGGAAGCACAGAAATGAAACTGGGCTGTCCAAGTCCTATTTTAGTACCCCAAACATTGTGCCATTCCTTCTCACGAAGAGATTTCTCTGCCTTAAAATGTCCTACAAGCTCACTTTCTTTTCTTTCCTCCTTTCATCTTTTGTCTTAATCAACCACTGATTTTAAAAACCCATTTCCATGACTGTATGAAACATTATCCAGATGCTATACCAAAATTCACTCTCTCTGCAATATAAAAAGAAAATAGAAGAGTGCTTTGGTTTTTTCCCTCCTTAATGTAAGGTTGAAACAGAAGAACACTTCTCTTTTTGAAGGGAAGTACAATGTTTTATTTTTAGAAAGCACCGTAGCTCACAAACAGAACACACACAACACCCAGCCTGGTTGCCTATAGGAACAAGGCAACGTACAGTTCAGAACCTGCATGAACGGGGCACTTTAAGCTCCTGAAAGGAAGTTCTTTGGGATTTTGACTCAAAGGCAGGACTAAGAGGTAGTAACAATAAATAAACATTTCTTTGATAACCAGCCAAAGAGGGGAAATTTGGAAGTCTGCTAACAGACTGCTTTTGTTCCACGTGGTAGATAGATAACCTAGTAAACTACACAAAGGGGAAGTTGTTTGGCTCTGTTGTATTGCCATAAAAAAACCCAGGAAACATCAAAAGAACAGGCAAGGAATTACAGCTTGTCTGTTATGTTTTATTAAGTATTCTTCTTTGAAAATAAGTCAGATGCCGTAACAAGGCCCCATGAACACTTACAAAGCAAAACACAGATGTTACTAACAGTGCTTCTCTTACTGCATTTAAGAGCTTTTCTATAAACAAAGAGAATGACAAAAAGAACTGTAAAGATCTTCCAGCACATCATCATCATCTCATTGTCTGGATATACATACAACTATATAGTTATTAACTCTGTGGAGATTTAAAATCATAGTGTGTCTGGCTGCACTTCATTTCAAGGATATGTTTATCTGCAGTAATCACAAAGTATACTGGTGGTATACCAGCCTGCCTGAAGATAAAGCAACCACGAGTTCTTTTTTTTCTCCCAACACTCACACACAATACATTGGCTCATCTGAGGCAATAAGCAAAAATCCTCTGTGCTGTGCATTCTCTTAAAATTTTGGCCATAAAAAAACCCAGCTTGTCAATCTGCAAAATTCTAAATGCTTTTTGCTACCTAATTCACAGAGGCGTCACCTGTGCTCTTTTAATTTTTTTAGTCAACAGTAGTTGCTATTAACAGTAAACAGAAATAAAAGGAATTGCACTCCCAGGTTCAAGGTTGGAACATTTCACTGGCAGCATTTAGATAAATGTGAAAGGACTCTAACTGTTCAACTTTCACCTGGATTTTCCCATCCTTCTATCTTCCCCTCATTAATTTTCCTAACAGAACTTTATTATTGAAAGTGTATTTTCTATCAAATCAACCAACGGCACCTTCAGACACCATGAGACACTAATTCTCAGGTGAAATCTACTCTGAGCTCTGCTCTTACATTCTATGAGATGATCAGAACTTTTTATTAAAAACTATTACAAACTCCACTGGGCAGATCCATAGCTAGGATGATTTGGTGTAGGGCCTGAAACAATGCAGATGCAACAAGTTGTTACAGATTTACAGCCAACGAGACCTAGTCCAAGCCAGCTGTCGGTATGTCTGGGACACAAATCCCACTTTTTAATCAGAGGCTTCTAGTTCATGTTAAAAGTTCTGTCTAAAAACTAGCATTGTACAAACCAGCAGCAGGCCTGTCACTTGCTTTAGCTGCTTTATATTCTGGCAAGACATAAATCCTGCAGTCTCCACTCAAGACAGCTACAAGTGAATTCTGGCTGGTAAATAAGGGCCAGACTTCGCCCTAGAAGTCTTTGCTATTTTTCTTATGACTGCTGTTGACCAAAGTCCTACCTTAATGCACACTTTGAAATGTGGAGTTTTGAAAAAAAAAAAAGAGAGAGAGTGTGAAAGAGAGAGAGAAATATGCTGGGAAGGCCTACGTGTTCACATAGTGGACCTTCTCTGCCTACACACTACTGACTATTTTATAAAAAAAAAATGTATTTTTAAGAGAACCTACTACATCAAGCCTGTACAAAATCGAGAATGTAATGACACGTGGGAAAAGTTTTTGCTTTTTTCCCCCCTAAGAGTCTCTCTTCTCCAGAGCAATAAAAATAACATTAAAACAATTGTCCTCCAGAGCCTGAAAAGGTATTTTTAGTCTTTTTTTATTAAAAAGCCCATAGCATCCATAAATCAAAGTACTGGGCATTTGCAGTTGCCCTTCGTTTACGTCAGAGTTGCAAGGACTCATGATCTCTAAAAAAGAGATTTATTAAACAAGTGCTAGTTGCTTAGCCCTGATCCAGTGAAGTATAATCAGCAACATACTTAGGCACACAGTTACATCACATTTGGCTTCAGAGGGAAGTGAGTATTAAGTGCTTCAGTACGCTGCAGCTTCAGTCACTTAACATGCAGTTTTGCGTATATCTGGCTACCCAGCTGGGGTAACCTGACTGCTTTTAATTACTCCCATCTTAAAAATAAATAAGTAGCATTCATCTATGCACCACATTCATATTTCGCAAAAACTAAAGAGATCTTCCAAGAATTAAAAACTTGTGGAGTCTTCTACTGATTAAAAACACTTCCTTAGTGGTAGAAGGAAACAAGGTGGACAGCCGAGAACAACATTAATATACTTGGTGAAGATGAAAATCATACTTGCACCGGGGCTTTATTTCTCATTAGTTTGACTAAACCCAGAAGCCCATGCTGTAACAGTTCAAAGACTGAATTCTTCACTGAACTCCGGTTAAACTGCTCTCAAATGGGAGAAATGACAGCCATCTAGCTGGGAGAGAGCAGTATTACAGAGGCATATTATTCAGACCCTGTCAATGCAACACAAGTGTGTGTACGTATACGGACAGAGGAAAGAAGGCTAACAGTGGGATGAAAGGCTCCTGAATTCTGTGTTCTGAAACATTAGATCTGCAGTGCCCAACACTTCTTGCTGTGTACCCACAACAGGGATTTTCCACCAGCCCTGCTGGCTGCTCCTTGTTCTGCTCAAGTTCTCATTCAGAAAGGCCAGCTCAACAGCACATATGAAAGGGCATGTCTGAAATGTCTGAAATGTCAGACTCCCACAGACTTCAATAACATTTGGAACAGGCCTCAAATCACTGTCACCTACAATAGTCTGCTAAAAGACATCAAGTGGAGAAACCAAAGAGACCATGAGTAAGTGCTCTTCCATACCTGGACATGAGAAGTTACCAGATACCCCCTTGCACTATTATTTAGGACATAACAACTTCTCAAATATGCTTAGGTAACTCACGTGATACTGCAGAGCATTACTTCAAAATGGTCAATCTTAACAGCAAGGCACTTGTTCAGTTATTAATTATGAACAAACCCCTGCAACTTTTAGAAGAAGCAGAAGCCATGAATGCACATACCTGGGGCAGATTCTTCCGGAGTGGGGCTGCAATCTGCACAGAAATGGAGGGGCAACATGCATGATTAAGGAGCCGCAACATAGTCTAAACATAAGCAACTCAAATGCTCGATGCCAGGGTTCTCAAACACTTTCACCGAGGGAAGAGGAGCTCAGCAGAGATACTCCTTTGCCTGCAGGCACTGAGGGCATGGGCTGCCTCCGCCACTCCACTGTTTGTGATCAGAGGAACACCTGGATGGCAACTTGGAGGAAAGCCAGTACCTGCTAGCTCAGGGGCTCTCTGTGGGTCACCAGCAAGCGCACTGTCCCCAGCGATCCACAGGGCACAATTTGAGAACCACTGGTTTAGTGCAATTATAGAATAAGCTGGCAGTAAGGCTGCTAAAAGAATAGCAAAAGACCAGCAGTAAGTTCAATGCACTTAACATAAAATGACATTAAAGCACTCATAATGCAAGAGTAATAAAGAAACAGTACTTCGCTATCTTAGACAAATTTCTGTTATACAACTTCTGAGACAGTTAACACAAGCACTAGATTGTAGATTAAGGGCTGAAACCTCATCAGTGAAGCCCGTGAGCATTCCACACTCACTTCAGTGGGAGGAACAAGCTGTCAGATGAAAATATACTATGGTGTAATGCAAACAGTAAAGAGATAATATATACCTTGTTATAGCAGGTCTCGCATTAAAGTAGTTTACTAAGCTAACAGGATTTAAACTTCTGTTGTTTACACCTAGATCCACTAGTCAATGAATTACGAATTTGAAAATAACAACAGAAAATATCAAATTCAATTGTATACATTAGGACAATCAGCTGAGCTAGACAATCCAAGATAGAAACCTCTCAGTAAATTAAAACTCATCGTGTTCATTAAAATAGCTATACGCTCCCATGCAATTTTAGTAATTAATATCTAAGCCTGTAACAAAAATAAATTTAAAAATAATTTCTTAGGTCTCCCTTTGACTATTTCAGGCAGTATTTTCTTTCACAAACATTCATTTCTAGAGAGATCCTCTAAAATCCTTCAACAATATTTCACTGTCTCTGTCTTACCAATACTGGGACTATCTTGGTTTGCTAGTTTTTACATTGCTTTCAGAAAAATTTCTGGTCACTCTGTGCTCAGTGTCATTTATTCATAACTCAGTATTACTAACACAAAAAGTGTTAGATCTTTGAATACATGACAAGGAAAAACTTTAAAATGTTGTGACTCTGCACTTAGCGACAGGATCTTCTCTGTCCCTCAGTTATTCCCATGATCAGTTATGGAAAGTGACAGTTAAAGGGAATTCAGAGAATCACAGAATAGTTTGGGTTGGAAGGGACCTTTAGATATCACTTAGCCCAAAGCCCCCACAATGAGCAGGGACATCTTCAACACCATCAGGTTGCTCAGAGCCCCATCCAACCTGACCTTGAATGCTTTCAGGGATAAGGCATCCACCACCTCTCTGGTCAACCTGTCCAGTGTTTCACCACCCTCATGGTAAAAATTTTCTTCCTTATATCTAGTCTAAACCTACCCTCTTTTAGTTTAAAACCATGTAACAGGCCAGATTTGGTGTGGAGTCAAGAAAAGTAACTCAATGGGAAAATGTCAGTAAGAGCAGTTTTTTCCATGGTATTAAACCTGTTCCTCTGTCAAAAACAGTGACCATTGATTAGGACTACATCTGATGAGAACGTGATCAAGTACTCGGCTTGCTCTGGCTTACAACAAACTTCCCAAGTGCTATTCAAATTGTGTATTAAGACCTACAAACAATGTTTGCACCAGATACCTAAGACACAGGATTCCCTCTCCAGGGTTTTTTAAGTTAAATTCACCCAACATTGGTTGACAGGCTTCAGATCTAGTCCTTACACTTACGTAGCACTGGGAAATGGCAGCAAGCCCCTTAGCGTTAAAGCCTGCTACACTTCTTGAATCAATGTTTCTGTCCCAGGTTGTGCGGATTATTTTCCTATTTTGGAGGAACAGCAGGGAAAGGTTACAGAAACTCTTGGCACAAACAAAATTTTTGGTACGTAAATGCAGCTAATTCCACTTTAGCCATATGCCGTTAAGTGTCAAGATCTAGAGTAGATCTAAAAGATTGACTGAAAAAAGAAAGAAAAATTGTTCTAAGATGCTTTCAGCATCAAATTATCTTGGGAAAAGCGTTGAAATTTACTGATAAAACTTTCCTGTAAATATGTACAAAACTTCATGTAAACTAGCTAGCAAATAAAAACATTTAAAATTTGGGCACAAACTGAGGCACAGGAAGTTCCGTCTGAACATGAGGAAGAACTTCTTCCCTCTGAGGGTGACGGAGCACTGGAACAGGCTGCCCAGGGAGGTTGTGGAGTCTCCTTCTCTGGAAATATTCAAGACCCGCCTGGACAAGATCCTGTGCAGCCTACTGTAGGTTGACCCTGCTTCGGCAGGAGGGTTGGACTAGACGACCCACAGAGGTCCCTTCCAACCCCTACTATTCTGTGATTCTGTGATTCTGTAAAAGGTATCAAACTGGTAGAAGAAATTTAGTCAAAGATTAATAGAGAACACATTCTGAAATAAGAACCAATTCTCTTCCTTTATAATGAACAAAAATGTCAGTCTAATCTAGAAAAACATGGTCATTTAAGACATTCAGCAAATCACATGTAACATACAAAGATATACAAAAATACAGTAACATTTATTTTAACTTCCTTCTTGCTTTCTTTTTCTTAAGATAATGCCTTCCACTGCAACAGTAACAATGGGATGGACATGAAGTCACAGACACACATAAGGGACAACGGGCCATCAAAGGATAAGACAGAACAGGAAAAATGAAATGAAAATACAAATCTATCTTTCTAGAGCTTAACTTGGCACACCTGCGCTATGAAGTGGCCAAATCATAGTAACCACACGTAAAGAATGTGAGAATAAGTCAAATAAATACATATGTAAATGAAATAATTCTGAAATTTAACACGTGGCTGCCAAACAGTCAACCTAAACTGATATCTTTCATTCACACGCTCACAGCATTATGCTGGATTCAATCCAGCACCCACTTTACCTCAAGTTTTGATAGGATTATTCCACTGAGAGCTTGCAGTGCCAGTTCCTACCTTCCAACTACAAGAAGTCTAAGTGAGTGCCTCAGCACCACAGCTTTTGACAACTTGGTTTAAAATTTGCTTTAAACTCCAGTAGGTTCACCCATCTTGAGCTCAGTCTAATGGGACTGCTTGGCTCCCCTCCTGTGCATTGGCAGCCCAGCTGGGACCATTAGTGTTGCAGTAGTGCCTGCACTTCTCTCATCTTTTACTTATCTTTTATAGAGGTTCACTGTAATAAGCTTTGATTGCTGCAAAGAAGCTGAAGCCAAAAGGAAAGCTGCCAGAGGTGGTGTTTGACATATGCTAACCCAAACACCTGTTTTACGAGTTTGAAACTTCCAGCTTGAAAACCAAATGCCACTGGCGTCAATGGATTTGGCAACGGTTTCAGGGGGATCAGGATTTCAAAATAAGTAACGGGCTTAGCAGCTCCCAGCACACCACCAGCCCTTTCTGCCTGACATCAGTGCTTAACACCACCACTAAACTAAAAACACATGGAAGGATGTAAGGGAGGCTTAGGAATGGTGCCAGCGCACAGCAAGAGAGCAGCAGTGAGCAGCAGTGTCTGGCATACGCACTTGTCTTTCTGAGAGAATGGCATGCACAGGATGGTGTGGATGATGAAGGTGGTGAGGATGATGAAGGTGGTGAGGATGATGAGGTCTCATTTAAATCTTCTGGATTTATCCAGTAGGCACGAGTGTCCCTATTACCTTTCTTACTAGTACAGCTGATGTCGCACTGGAAAACATCTTCACAGCTGTCGCTTTGCAAGCGCTCCTTCTGGAGAAGTTTGTCCACTCTCTGTATAATACACTCCAGACTTTTGTCAACATTCAACCAAACTTTCTCCTTAAAAGAAAACATTTCTTTCTCAGTTCAAACACAAAAGAGACACTGGACAACAAATCCCTTGGCAATATATTTCCTTCTGTGATCCTAGTCACAATTCCTTTGCAAAGATTCCTTTGGGCTATCATATTTACATTTGTGCACACACGAACTCTGGATATATAAAATGTATACCAGCATGTCAACAATATGTAGTGATATGACTTGTGTGGTAAATTCCAAAGTTGTTTTCTAAGTAAATTTGCTGAACAATTTTAAGTGCCTCTTGTTGCACTATTATTCCGATTTTCAGTTGGCACTATTGTTTATTCTTGAAACTCATGTTTGACATAGTAATTGTATACAATCTCACATACAATCTTTTTTCTTATGTAACTCAGTGAACAACAGAGAAAATTACTGTATTGTATTACTCTCTAAATAACTGAATTGGCTTTATTCGTGTCTCATTACTGTGAGTTTGACTGTAAGTCATACTATGCCAAAACAATAAAATTAGCAAGGATCCGTCTCCAGAAAGAATTGGATCTCATTTCTAAACCCGTATTTCACAATAATGGTTTTAATTAATCTTGACTATTTTTGAGATTTAATTCACTTCTGTTTATATTACACAATGTCAGAACTCACAGAGCCTAATCTTCATTTCAATTGGCAGTGTGGTAAGGAAAACCATTTAAATTCTTTGGGCAAACAGTTTTAAAATGCTGTTCATAATCAAAACAGAGATGGACTACAAGTTCTAAATATGTAGATGAGAATAAAAGCCAGGAAGGCTTAATTGTACAGCTAACACACGCAAAATATGCTTCATCTCGCAGAAGTGTAACAGCCCTTTGTAGTATGGTCAGTTTTTTTACTTTAAATGCTATTTACTTTCCCTTGGAACCAACTTCAGAAAAGCAATGCATCTACTGTAATGATCTTCGCTGTTTAGGAGATCCAGAAATATTTATTAAGGCCTGTTTGTATCGCCATGCCAAGGAATAACTGAGCATAGGATGTTGAGAGCATCTTTGCTAGTTGACTAATACCTCCAAAAGAGTCACCCTATGCATATCTGGCAAGCAGTTACAGAGCTTACAAACAAAAGAACACAGCAAACAAAAAGTAAAAAGAGGAAAATATTCATCACTCTACTAAGCAAACGTACCCATTCCTCTTCATGCCAATCCACCTGCAGAGAAGATCGGCTATTTCTTCCTGTCCATCTGGCCACAAGTGTATCTTGATCATTCCTCAGCACCACTTGCTCCCCTTCTCCAGAGGTTGGAGATGCTTTTGAAGCTATATAGTCTGGCCTTGCAGCATTCAGTCCGTGTATTGAATTTGCCAACAGCTTACAGTCACAGACCGTGACAAGTTGCCGGGTCTAAAAGGCAATAAATCCCCCACACTTTAACAACTTTTCATTATTCTGTACACAATTTATACTATATTCTTTCGCAGAAAGAAAAAAGAAGAACTAGTACTGTGTAAAAGAAACTAACCATTGTTCAGGAGTCTCTAAGGCGCCTTTATAATCATTTTACAGAATGGCCTTAAAAAGCAATATAGGATACCAAAACATCAGTGGTACATTTCCAAAGTCTGTACTACTATATTAGCCTTGCAATTGTTGAAAAATTCACTAATAAATATGCAACTGACATTTGCACTTCAGTCTCCATTTGATGAAAGCTTAGAACAATGTGCAGACATTTTTATACCCCACACAACAGTTGCCACACTAGAGAGACCATGCTTAACCTCCACCATCCTGTTTGAAATCACAACAAGACTTTAGAAGAGGGCTGAAGAATATAACCCACTAATCAATGCAGCTCATTCCTTGTCTTATTTAGCAGTGTTGTATTAAAGGATTTTGATAAGTTATGTGAATATGAAAAGTATCTGGCCTGCTTGTCTATTAAAAAAAGAAAACAAACAAGCCTCTACTACATTATCTACAGACATTGTCCACCTGTAGAAAAACCCACAGATCAGTTATACATACTGTACTCATTTAGAGTGAGTATTATAATAAATAATACATTTACATGGGGTCACATTATTTTTTTCACACTTCGAAGTTGCATGCATATCCCATCCACTGGGGCAATTTATGGCAAGCTGACTGGCCATTACTGCCATTTACATCCTCCAGATCTGCTTCAGGGACAGAAGAGGTCATATTTGATTTTTTTGTCCCTGTAAATAAGTGTTCAGCTGTGGGTCCAGTCTGGTTTCTGTTAACAGCCATCAAGAAATAACCAGTTCACATCACTGTAATTCAAGCAACAGCTGTGTCACCATTATTCCTTATTTCATCAGTGGAAAAATACAGAATTATTTCATTTACTTAAGTTTCGCCCAGTTCCTACTGCTTGACAGACGACTCAGAGGAACACTAAAAAAAAAAAGCAGGTGGTTATGGAGAAAACGGTATAAAAGAAAGTGAAAAATGCACATTTCTGGACTATTATGAATGAATAGAGGAAAGCAGAGGACATTGCTCTCCACTGCACTCTCAAGAGGAGGTGAAGGCAAGAATGTGAAAAGTAGGAGACAACCTAAATAAAAAGCAGCAAATTTTAAAAGCTGGTCTGATTTTGCTTTTTCTTTAGGATGTACACGTTTACAACACAGTACTGAACAAGGTAAAATAGATGTTTCAAGAAGACCTACTAAAGATAGAGACAGAGAAAAAATATACACTGTGCTTCAGTGTGTGAATGTGTTATTCTCCTACCTTGTCTGCTAGGATGGCAAGCGTTCTTTCAAGGCCATTAGCTGATCTGTCCTTAGCAGCTCTTGAGAGCCTTTCTGCATAGTAACTGACTTGCGTTTTCAGGGTGTTGATCTGTGCAATAATTTCCTTTGCTCTAACAATGTCCTGTGGGATGTATATTATAGACTGGGAACTTGTTGAAGTGCTGAAAAAGAAAGACTGATTTTAGGGGGAAAATTGACCTAGAGGTGTACACATTACAGTGCCATGCTGGGGAATTAATGGCAGACAACAAAAATTTACCTAAGCTAGCAATCAACAGTGAAAGGCCAGTGGGCAATTGCACAGCAGGAACGTGATCCTAGAGCCTTCTCTGCCTTTACTGAAAGCATTCAGATGCAAATTTGCTAATCCCGTATGCCAAGGGGCTGTGGGCAGAGCTTGTATACCAGAGGGACAGCTTTGCTGAGGAGAACGTGGGTGATAAATTTTGTCATCAGACACAGAACCACTGCTTGCAGAGACAGCTTGCCCCACTCTCCCTCTGCTTACAACGCAGACACTTCCCTGAAGTCTGATTTACAAATCTGTACTATCACATAGCTACTAGCACCAGGAAAAGAAAATCTGCACTCCTTCCAAAGCAGAAATGCCATCCAGACTCATAATACAAAGACTGTGGTTTTAGCAAAAATTCCTTCTGCTAGTATATCCTTGCCTCTGCTGCAGGCCTGATTCATGTTACGCCAGCAAAAGCAATCTTCTGATACATAAAAACCAAAATATATCTCCAGGGTAATCCAAGGACTCTGTCCTTGGTGTAGCTTCTGTTAGCACACACTGAACTATACTAAACTAGGGACATGGTACAACTATCCCTATCATATACTCAGCTGTAACAACATAAAGCAATACCAAACTTTGGTCTTTTCCAAATAATAAGGAAAATAAACTATACAAATAAAACACATCTTTATATTGAGACACTGCAGCTCTACTAAGACTGCTTACTTGGCAGTGGAGGAGAACAGTTCATGTCCTTTAAGTTTAGATGTCTACAGAAGTTGCTTATCCAGTCTAAGACAGATGCTTAGACTCCCTCTGTAACTGCGGCAGAGAGAACAGCACTTCTAAAGAGAGATTTAACCCTACCTGAGAAGAGCCATTCACAAAAGCTGCCTCTTAGCTTAGAAAATTACTTTAAATTGAAGTTGTGCTCTCAGCTGACTGTTTGGAACCAACCCACCCCTACTCCCTCTGCCAGGCAATACGCTGTTTTTTTCCTCCCAGTAGGAAAGCTAAAAGGCCTTTGTATCAGCTCCAGCTGTGACAAGTGTGATGTCTGTTCACGATATGGCATCAAGCATGAGGTGACACCAACTGCATATTATTTTAATATTACTGATTTTTTCCAGTCATGACAGGCTTCAGTGTAGTAACAGCACAGAATAACCTACTGTTCGCACCAATCTTAGCACTGTCAACGGACACTTCTATGCTGAGAGACTACACAGAGAGGAGTTTCTTCTCCAGGTAGTTACCTCAGACGTCCGAGGAGTACGAATTCCTCTGCTACCCCTAGAGCAATGCTGTTAATTTCTGCAGCGTGTCTGTGAGGTAAGACAGGAGGGTTGCACGGGGCACGCTTTAAAATCATTGCCACAAATACCAGTTCTTGTCCCTTAACTGATATGAAGGCAAGGGGGTAGCTTAATCCCAGTATCTGTCTGAGCTCCCTTACAAGAAAAGATGGAGGATTTATTTTCAAAAAATATAAAGCAGAAGTGATTCTTGAAAGAGTTTCCTTATTTGTGTCCCTCTGGTCACCCACCCGAGTAGAGCAGAGAACAACCGCTCCCCAGTACTGCTACGCCATACAGCAAATCAACCTCAGTTTTTAGGACTTTCCCTGTATGTGATTTGTGCTCTCTATTGACCAGGGATCTTAGTGACAATTCCTCTGAGCAATTTCTTTCCACGACAGTGTGGTTAACATGCATAAACACGTATTTGGCAGGAAAGGCCATGCAGCATATTGAGATCTGATTTAGAATTGCTACACTTTTAATCACAAACATTTGCTGGGATGATCAGGGGGAAAAATTTATGGTGTAAAGTTCACATATATTTACTTTCCAACCTGCAATTGCTTTTTCAAATGAACAGCTCTCCTTGTACTATATCAGCAAATTCTAACAGAGCCTTAAACTCTCAGTGAATTAGGTGTTCAACCTTTAATATGAGTAATTTAGAGCAGAACTTCTGCGCTGTTGAACCACCAAGTAATGTTTCCTTTTCATAGCAGTGAACATCACAACATGAAGCAAATAAAAGTGAAAATGTTTAAATGAAGACATGGGTTACAAAAATATAAACCATGCCCAATCTATCACCATAAAGATTAAAAAATATATAGTTATCTTAATTATCTTCCACCTCTGGCAGAACATTTCTCTCTCCAGGTAGTTTTCACTGGAAATAACAGGAAAATACATAAAATTCTTGTGTTCTGATCTTCAGCTTTCTAACTTTTTATGATCAGAGAGAGCCAGGAAGTTAGCTGTTCATTACAAACAAACATTGCAGATGAAATGAAATTCATTCACACATCATATTCTACAAAGCAGCTACAATTACTTAAAGCACAATTAGGGATGCCATGATGCATGACATTAAAAAGCCCTGCACACTTCAAAACACACCAGATCTTTGCCAAAGAAAAGAAAAGAAAAATAAAACAACCCAAAGAACAGAAACCCTCTCTACAGAACTCTCAGAAACAGAAAACTCACCAACACTCCTCATAACTGCTAAAAAAACAAAAAACCAAAAAAAAATTAGCAGATTGTTAGCAAATATCAAAAGCAGAAAACAAAACAAAGGATGTTGGGGGAAATAACTTCAGTCATCTTTTCAACAAGGCGGGTACATAACAATTAAACTTGTAAGCAAAAAAACACAGATTGCCAGATGCCCATGTGTTGTTCTGGAGAATGTTGTGGATGCACCAAGCACAGTTTTGCCAATGAAAGGACAAAGAACTGGAAGATGTCTATTTAACAGTGAAACTGAGGAGATGGATCTCAGTTCTACTATACTGGCTTTTATGATAACACAGAAGTACTCAAAAAGAAACTTTGTTCTTCAAATGTTGAACCTGCAGTTTCCATGGACCCAGAAAGAATAGTTCTCTAAAGCTTGCAGGAAAAGTACTGGATAGAAATTCATATCTCTCACCAGCTTAATTACTGGATCGGGAAAAAAGACAAAAACAAAACCACACAAAAACCAACCAAAACCAAAAGACATGGGAACTTACATATTGCAGGACTGAGGCCCACTTCAACAGCTAAATCGACAGGAGGAGGTTATTTCAGAAAGCAATAAAGGTATCAAAAGAACAGGAAGGGTGAGCTTAGCATACCAGTGTTTCCAGGTTTACAATTTCCTCCAGTCCCATCCTAGCACATGCTGTAAGTCAGGAATAATTACACCAGGCATATTTTTGCACCAGCCTTTTTATCAGTCGATATCTGACTGATGTTCACAGGATGCTGCTATTCACTTCTCCACTGCCAAAACTAATTCTGCAGTTGGCAGAGCCTCGTTCCCACGTCACTCTCTCCTCCCATCAGCTCCATATCCTACAAATCCTTTCTTTGGAAGGGCATTATCAAGGTCTCCTTTTCCCTGGCCACAATGACTCCTTGTCCTGCTGCTCTCATTGTTCCTTAAACTCTCCATACTGCAGCAAAGATAATGCAGACCCAGACAGCATTCTCTCTTCCCTGGGAGATGGAATTGGTACCATGCAGATCTCTCCCTTTAACATATGTGACCTTCCCACTTCCTGTCCCTTCCTCTAGTACATGTGGTTGCACTTCCAGACAGGGCACTAGACAGTCCCTGAAGACAGGACTGTGGAAGTCAAGTATCCTGCCTGTGGAGCAGAGGGAGGCCAGACTGAGAAGACGAATTTGTGCATACACCTTGAGGCAGCACAGAAGTATATACACCTAGCAATAGTCCGAGAACTAAAACCAAGCTGTCAGGAAGGAATCTGCCTATCAGTCACAGCTGTCCTGTATTAAAGAGAGTTCAGCAACAGGACCTTGAAGCTACAATAGGGGTGAAAGTCTCCTGAAGATAATTGGTTGAAAGCATGACGCAGTGCAGCTGAGGAGGTTCTACAGACAAATTTTCTAATCCACAATTACGAAGAACCCAAACACAACACCTAAAATAGCTAAACTAAATGAACAAGTATTCAGGAAAATTAAAGATTTCACTAAAAAGACTATTAGAAAGGGCCCATCAGTAAACAAACAAACAGGGTAATATAAAGGGGAAACTGTTTTTCCTCTCCTTTTTTGGAAAAAAAACATGGAATAATCTTCACATTGTATAGTAGAACTACTGAATGAAATGCACAAAACCAGAGAATGGGATGATTTTCCAAATCACTGAGCATGGACCAGGAGAAAAAGGCACAATGACAGCTGACAACAACATTTCTACTTACTGTTTCTTTGCCTCTTCAAATTTATGCAGCTTTTTCCGCAAGCCACCTGACTTAAAGCCTTGACAATGAGCTGCTGGTGCTCCTATGGTGACTATGTCGTAGTTCTGATCTGGGATGGACAAAAAGGACTTACAAATGAAAGCCTGTCATCTTTACTGTGGACAAACAATTGTGGAAATTCAAAAACTACTCTGAAAGTAATGGTTGTAAAAATTTGTGCAAATGTTTTGAATGGCATGGAAAACCGAATTGTTTCAGAGGCCCTGGAAATCTATCAAGAACTTTTCAGGTGAAAGAACCATACTTGAATGCAGGTTCTCTGCTTCTTAATCCAAAAGACTGACAGTGAAAAAGAGGGCTTGAACATCAGTTTTTACGCAAAGCCTGCTATTACTGGAATCTCTCACGTGAATACATGGGACAAATGTGTGTCCATGGTTAGTGGGAATTCCAGTTAAAAGAAGGGAAAACCAAGGTTATTTTTGAAGAAACAAGCTTGATGTGAACAAACTGGTGTGATTTTGCATAACTGTACATGACGGTTCCAGAGACAAAAGACACAAGCTTAACAACAAAAAACAGACAGAACCTTTGCTATTCTGCTGCAATCCAAAATGACTGGAAGGGACATAGCAGCTTAATCCAATATATTGCCTCGTACAAAGGCTGACTTGTGTCACCTAGGGTACAGTTAACTCCAGAACGTAGTTTTGCCACCTACAGAATAGCGATAATCATACTTACACCTCTTCTTTTGCAAAGAGATTTGGAATCTGAGGACAGAAGGTACTACAAAAATGCCAAGTAGCACTAGTACGACAGAGCTGTAGTTTGCAGACACTTGGCTATATGTTTGAGGATAGAAATAAAAAATGGAGAGAAAAGTAACAGAATAAGGTGGAGAAAGATAAAAAGAAACAAATACCTGATCCTCCATCATCCTGGACTCTCATTCTTTGTATATGTAAATTCGTAGGAACAAATTCCAATTTTTTATCAGCTTTCAAACTACTGGCTTTAAATGAAGGACCTGAGAAATACAGGAGAAAAGTAAGCATAAAAATGCTCTGCTTCTGCTAAAATATTCAAGGAGTTTTATTCATCACTTGCTACATACTAAAGCAGAGGGAAAAAAAAAATCTTTTTGTTACTGTTCACAATTGTTCTCTGCTTTCAGAGTAAAATAAAATAAGGCAGACAAATATTCCCAGATCATTAGCAAACTCACAATAAATGTTAATAAATAAAAGAAATCTAAAACCAGTATTTTTTACTCATCAAACTAAAACATTCTGGGTTCCCAACTTCAGAGAAGCAATAACAACCACAGCTGAGAAGTAGCACATTATTATGAAGAAGAAATCACCTTTATACTGGTGCAGGTCAGTTAGATTTTCCTGATAAGTTAAAATAATTGTTTGGTACTGAGTAACTATTTGTCGACGAAGGCTTTCCCAACAAGGAGACAGTTCTCCCAGTTCTTCTAGTTCACAAACCCTAGGGAAAAAGGAAAAAAAAGGAAAAAAGCAAGGTGTTTAGCTCCATTGTCCACTTGACCAAGAACAAGTTCCACATCATATCGATGTAGCGCCATCCTCAGCTAATACATTCTCAGTTCACTCTGGTCCAACCTAGTCACCAGACTCCCAAAGCACAGCTGTGGAGCTCTACCCCAAGGTACGTAGGTTCCTCACAAGCAGAATACACCGTGTTCCCCCCCAGAAGCCTCAGGTGTTGGTTACAACCAAAGCTTCCCACCTTTCTGCAGGAGCTTCCAAACTATATGATGCAAACGATGGGCACTGTCATCATGTCAGGTGACTTGGGACAACAAGGACCTTTTTAGGCTACTCTACTGAACTTTGGTGGCTCTCAAATCAAATCAGAACTGTAACAGAACTTAGGTGGAAGATTAGCACCTATCTGACATTAGGTACAAGCAGTGTCTGCACTGGCCAGGTATCTACGCAACAGTTTTCAAGGCCAGGCAGGGAAGGTCTAAGAAGCATAAGCATTAATAAGGGTTTGGAGAGACAGAAGCTGAGCCGACAAAACCTTTGTCTGAAATTACGGAAGTTAAGCACTCAAGTTTCACTGTAGGTGGAATAAAGAATGACTGGCTACCCCTGGATATGAACAGGAAAACCTCTGGGCTTTCCCATTGCACCATGACTGCTAGGTTTTCAGACACTCTTCGTAATCCTGTGTTACATTCCATTCCCAAAGAGTGCTGCTGAGAAAATATCCGTTGTATTTCATGCTTGTATTACTGCCTTCCTGGATTAAGATATTATTTAGAATAAAGGAAGAAGCGAAAAGGTAAACAAGTCAACACCAGACACAATGCAACAGCACATTACCCCACAAAAGGTAGAACAATTGTCTGTCAAAAGGATCCAGCAGTTCTTTTTGCAGTTCTCTCAATATCCCTAATCCATAGTTTTAATCAGTTGTCTGTGTATAATTTAAGATAGCATTTCACAGAACAATTTCCACTCCACAATATTTAGGATATTATCAAAAAGAGGCAAATTTCCAAGAAAAATACCAGACTGATTTGCCAAAAGGCAACAATGTAAATTATATTCAAATCTGTGACTTGGAAAAACACACTTCCAGTTTCATCTTGTACACTGCTTCTGCCTAAGATTCTACTATGACCACTTTGTCAAGCTCCCTGCTCAAAATAAGCCAAGCAAATGCACAGCTTAACACTTCAAGTTTACTTGTTTGTCCCACAGGGCTAAGACAGCAGGGGATGTACATGCCATAAATAATTAGGTAGTTGAAATATCCCCTCAGTTAGATGTTTCCTTTCAAAGAGCTCTGGGCCAGAAGGGTTTTATGTAAGAGACAGCAGTTGTGATTATCCAAGGACATTTTAAAAGTCACCAGGACGTTAAGACAGAAGCAGCTGTGCTTGTGTAGCTGTCCGGCATGCCTCTGGGCTGCAGCAGAGAGAATGGAGAAAAGAACGCTTAGCTACATCTGAGTAATCCTATGAATATAAAGTGTGATTGTGCCATTTCCCACACTGTAACAAAATAGGGCACCAATTCCAAATGAACATGACAGTAACTCACCTTAAAGAAAAACATTCATTTCAAATACAAAAGCACCGACAGAAAAGAATTCTGCATATCATTGAAGGTCAGCCTCAACTGAATAGAGGGAAGGGAGTCTTTCTCACTAATTACACAAAAGTCATGTTTACCTTTGAGGCACACGATTCAGAGCAAACAAAATTGTATTACCAATCACCTGGGCTGTTATTAACCAACAACTGTATACAATATGCATCCGTCAATCTCTGTATGATTTTAGCAAGAGCCTCTGAGCAGTCACATTTCCTCACTGCCAACAGTCTTAATGGGAGCCACATCTTTTCCCCCATTCACCCCAAATTCTCCTCTTATTATCTTCAAGCCTTTAAACTGCATCCATCACAGATGGCACCTTATGGGTAAGCCTGCCAAGTCTTTACAGTATTACGGCTGTACCTCGTAATGAATAGGTGCTTTTAAACATACTGTGAGGACAGCTGTAGAGAACCAAAGACATAAAATAAGCTGTGAATAACCCATGTTTAAATGTGTAATGGCATATCCCAAGCCCCCTCCATCAAGGTTGTAGCAGGACAACTATGCAAGATACAGCATTCATTGTCTAGAATCTAAAATCTGACTACTCTTACTAAGTTCACGACACTAAAAAACAAAACTCAACAGCAGAAAAAAAAAAAACTATGTGAACTTTGGAAACTCAAACAGTCATGTCAGGCATTACTTTTTCCATACATTACAAAAATTCACTGCCACTTTCTCATGAGAACTTATAATTTTTACAAAATATGAAAATACTTGAAAACACTATAGACTAATTCTGCCTCCACATATGGATTAGCATAGGATTTTCACAGAATCACAGAATCACAGAATAGTAGGGGTTGGAAGGGACCTCTGTGGGTCGTCTAGTCCAACCCCCCTGACGAAGCAGGTTCACCTACAGTAGGCTGCACAGGATCTTGTCCAGGCGGGTCTTGAATATCTCCAGAGAAGGAGACTCCACACCCTCCCTGGGCAGCCTGTTCCAGTGCTCCGTCACCCTCAGAGGGAAGAAGTTCTTCCTCATGTTCAGACGGAACTTCCTGTGCCTCAGTTTGTGCCCATTGCCCCTTGTCCTGTCACTGGGCACCACTGAAAAGAGCTTGGCCCCATCCTCCTGACACCCACCCTGCAGATATTTGTAGGCATTTATAAGGTATCCTGTCGCTTAATTCTTACCCATAAGCTCTCGACTCGTTCTTCATCCACCCTCAGGCAGGGCTTGATACATTCCGGTTACTCCCTCATATACAGAGCAACTCCACCACCTTGCCTTGTTGGCCTGTCTTTCCTAACGACTGTGTAGCCATCTATGACGGCACTCCAGTCAAGCCTGTACTGGTGCCTGGGGTTGTTCCTCCCCAGGTGCAGGACCCTGCACTTGCCCTTGTTGAACCTCATCAGGTTCCTCTCTGCCCAGCTTTCCAGCCTATCCAGGTCACGCTGAATGGCAGCACAGCCTTCTGGTGTATCTACCACACCTCCCAGTTTGGTGTCGTCAGCAAACTTGCTGAGGGTACATTCTAACTCTTCATCCAGGTCGTTGATGAAGAAGTTAAACAAGACTGGGCCCAGTACTGACCCCTGAGGGACACCACTTGTCACCAGCCTCCAACTAGACTCAGCGCCGCTGATGACAACCCTCTGAGTTCTGCCATTCAGCCAGTTCTCTATCCACTTCACCGACCACTCATCCAGCCCACACTTCCTCAGTTTCCCTAGGAGGATATCATGGGAGACTGTGTCGAAAGCCTTGCTGAAGTCAAGGTAGATAACATCCACGGCTCTCCCTTCGTCTACCCAGCCAGTCATGTCATCGTAGAAAGCTATCAGATTGGTCAGGCATGATTTCCCCTTGGTGAATCCATGCTGACTACTCCTGATAACCTTCTTTTCTTCCACTTGCTTCATGATGGCCTCCAGGATAAGCTGCTCCATCACCTTTCCCGGGGATTTTCTTTCACAATGTCCCAAAGCAATTGAAAGTATTAATATAGGATACTGAGAACACTAGCTAGTCTTACTTTTAATTCAGGTCAGACTTAATTAGGCCTCTAGGAGTGGATTCAAACACAGCCAAATTAAAAACCCAATACTCAGAGATACAGCTAAAATTCTTTTACCGTCCCAACCTTGGCTTCTATACAGAACACACAAACCATTATGTTTGCAAACCACAGCCTACAAATGTTGGGAAATAAAAGTCATAAATGTGTATGTAGCCTGGAAGAGAGTTAATTGCTTCAAAAAGAAGCAAATCCAGAATAAATCTACAAAATGCTTCACAAATGCTTCCTTCTCCCTCCTACCTCTGAAAATGAGTAAGTCATTACTGTTCTACAGTGCCTCATTCTACTTGCTTTCATTCTGTTTGTTTTCCATTCAAAACTACTCTTCTGACTCTTGAAGCCATCTCTTAAATCTCTAAGTGTACTCAGTGCTCCTGTCATCTACCTTTGCTTGCTTTCATAGCACAGAAGTCAAGTGACTTTGTCAAAGTTCACCTTCAAACTGTTTCTGATTTTTCTTCTCTGTCTGCTACTCTGATTACTCCTTCCTCCTCAGCTGGTTTCTGTGCTGTCTCTGTTCCTTCCTCAAAATTCTCAGCATTTGGAGTTATTACTCTTTCATTTATGCTGTGTCATCTATCCAGCACACCCATATATCCACACCTATGAAACACTGATATACGTTTTATTTTTAATTCAAATTAATTTTTCTCTTTATATTAAAAATAAACTATGTTTAAAAAACAAAGTGTACTGAAGTATATAAATGATTATGTATATAAAAAGATAATGTATTCTAATGTGCTGGTCCTAATACAGTCACATGGCTATGGAACAATATATCCTGTGGCCTTATCAATACTTTCATGAGAGGAACAGATAACCCTAAGTGCAAATAATTGCAGTATGATCCTAAGTGTTCACTCTGCCAATAGTTCTCTCCCATCATAACCTCTGTACGTTCACGTTACCATACACTCAAGCCCAAATTCTATACTCTGACATGAAATCTCATTCACTGTAACTGCACAACCAGCAACTTGCTGCTTTTATTATTTTTTCTTCAGTGCCTCTGTGCATTAACACAAATATATTCCTTGGTAACTCAATAACAGCCATATCACTACTGTATTACTGCACATGCAAACCACTCCAACCTCACCTTGCTGCATCTTCTTCTAGAAGAAGTTTCACAAATTGCCTAGGGATGTGCAGCGACAGTATGCTCTCAGCCATCTGCTCCAAGATTCTCAAGTGGTTTCCATCAGTGGTTGGGAAGCGATACATTCGGCAAATGGCACCACCAAACACTAAAGAATTAAAATAATGTTATTGTAGCATATGGTTTGAATTAAAAGTGTACACAGTCTCTCTTTTTTTTTTTTTTTAAAGTAAACGGCTTTGATTTCATAACAAGCTGCAACACATTGCCATAAAGATCTGGTTGAACCAGGCATCAGCCTAGCTTTTCCAAGCATGGTCATTCTGCAATGACCATTCTTCAAGTATTTGCCGGAAAATCCTCCAAAGTATTTAAAACACTGGTAAGGAAATAAAATACATATTCAACTTCTGAACTACTTTTTTTTTTTTTTTAACTAACTGCGCATTTTCATCTCATGCAACAATTTGATGGAAAACTAATCTTTCTTCAGTAAATTTTTTTAAATCCACTTCTCTCCTCTGTCCCTCTCCTCACCCCCCACTGACTGCTTTGGAATAGACTAGCAAATTGCACAGAAAGTTTCATACTACAGTCAACTTAATGACAAAAGTTTGCTTCTGCTGTTTTTATTATACAGATGATAAAATAAAATATGCAGATGATAAAATAATTTATTCTTCTATGACCCTCAGAGGGCTGTTCAGTCAGCAGCCTGTTCCTATTCAAAGGAAACAACTGCTTAAACGCCCTGGGGACACAGGCAGACAGCAAGAGATTAGCTTTTACTGATGCCTAAAGCTTACTTGTTACAGCCCACAGCAGCTTACCAGATTTCAGTAGTGCATCTTTCCGTAATGAAGCATATTTGGATCTGATTCCTAAAGATTCTGTTAAACTTTCATCAACTGGCAACACAGTCTAAACAAAACCAAAAAACCCAAATAGCAAAGAATGAAACTTTCCTGCCAGGGCAGCATGCAGTGATGATCCTATTATACAGACTTAAAAGGAACATTCAGCACAACGCATGTTTAAAATCAATATTTCAAATACATTTACTGCAGACAAAAAATACTGCAGGCTGAAATAATAAATCCACTTAAACCCTCCAATCTAAGCTTTCCTTTTTACTTCTACTGCACAGTTCAAAATGCTGGTAAAAATTTTATCCAGCTCTTCAACTACTTTATGCTAGCACAGCTCCAGAGATCTTGAAGATATTGCACCAGTATGTGCCAAATACAGGTCAGGCTGGACACAAAGTGATAATGATCCACATTGTGACTGTGATACACAGATAGGAGTGCAACTATCACCCGGATATTCAGAACACAAGGTTTACGTCTAGGCTGAGAAAGCACTAAAAATATCTGTTCTCAGACAAATATTTGGGGACCACAAAGAAAGAATAATAATCCAGTATTCAAGTAACCTGTTTGGTTTTATTAAAATTTTTTAAGGTATCTCTTTCTAAAAAGTTTCCTGTGAAAATTCTGGAAATTCCCTGAGCATCACCAACACAGCTTTGCTTGATGCCACCTTCCAGTTCAGGGGTGTGCAATACCACATCTTTGTGAAACCAGTCATGAGCGCACCAAGTGCACCACCATACAGTACCTCAAGCCTATTGTGATAAAAGGCATGAGCACTTCAAGCTAAAGCTTAATCACTGTAAACTAAAATTTTCCCCAAGACTTTTAACAAACATTAGCACCAAGAGCTCTGCAAAATACAGAACTGCTTCATCACCATTAGGCTGCTCTTTATAGTATTTTGAAATTGTAAAGCACTACTAAATACCAAGACAGATAGGAAAGTTGACAGCAGATCTCAACTTCTTTCAATACTACCAATCAACCTGCATCTTTCTGAAGCTGGTACAATGCTCATACTTACCCTTCCATTAATCGTATCGGGCGACCTCGTCACCGGAGGCCTTTGGTCAGTTTTTTCCTCCATTTGCCATCCAATAACTGTAATGTTACCTACACGGTCACTTTCAGCGGACCTGCAACAAACACTCTGCGTTGAGATTTTTTTGGAGGTGGACCTGTTTATCAACAAGGGAACACTTATAAAAGGCTATTAATCTTTGAACCTAACGAACATTTTAAATAGGAAGCTTTTCAACTTCATTTTACATATTCTTATTCTAGCCAGTGTTATTCCAATAGCAAAACACTCCCCTCATTCTGCAGGGTTACTGTACAGACCTCCGATCTGAAGGCAACCTAAAACCATGCATGTGTTTCAATACTTCTGTAAATCCAGAAAGAGTTCAGATTTTTCAATTAGCCTGTCATAGGTAAAAACCATCTTAAACGGTGAACATTAACAGAGAGCAAATAATTGCATGCACGCACACGTGTGTGTGTGTGTGTACCTGTGCGTGTAAATGTCCAAACCTGAACATTTAAACTCTCAGTCAGAAGCCTAGTACAGCTGTAACTGGTAAATTTTGATAATACATAGACTAAACAGAAATGGCACATCCTAAATCCTCTGCTTAATAGAGGCATGAGTCAAAGTCACCAAGTTAGGAGGCTGATCATATTTTGTGCTTCTGCTGATAGACTACTTAGACTGGGAAACCCAGGGGCTGGCTTTCCAGAAAGAAGAGCTGATGCTAAGAAGAAGGTTCTTGAAAAGAAATGGTCTAGGGAAGAAGGTGGTGAAGATTCTTGATGGAAAAAAAGATCCCTGAGGCAGAGGAAGATCACAGAATCCTAAAATCACAGAATACTTTGGGTTGGAAGGGACCTTTAGAGGTCATCTAGCCCAACCCTCCTGCAGTGAGCAGGGTCATCTTCAACTCCATCAGGTTGCTCAGAGCCCCGTCCAACCTGGCCTTGAATGTTTCCAGGGATGAGGCATCCATCACTTCTCTGGTCAACCTGTGCCAGTGTTTCACCACCCCCATCGTAAAAATTTTCTTCCTTATATCTAGTCTAAATTTACCCTCCCTTAGTTTAAAACCATTACTCCTCGTCCTGTCACAATGGGCCTTGCTAAAAAGATCATCCCCATCTTTCCTATAGCCCTCCTTTAAGTACTGAAAACTCACAGGAAGTTCTCCCTGCGGCCTTCTCCAGGCTGAACAACCCCATCTCTCTCAGCCTTTCCTCATAGGAGAGGTGTTCCAGCCCTTGGATCATTTTTGTGGCCCTCCTCTGGACCTGCTCCAGCAGCTCCATGTCTCTCCTGTACTGGTGGCTCCAGATCTGCACGCAGGACTCTAGGTGGGGTCTTACCAGAGCGGAGCAGAGGGGCAGAATCCCCTCCCTCACCCTGCTGGCCACGCTGCTTGTGATGCAGCCCAGGATACGGTTGGCCTTCTGGGCTGCAAGCGCACATTGGTGGCTCCTGTCCAGCTTTTCATCCACCAGTACCTCCAAGTCCTTCTCGGCAGGGCTGCTCTCAATCCCTTCACCCCCCAACCTCTATTGACAGCGGGGATTATCCACAGAAGATCCGTGAGATCAAGGAGTTTTGAGAAAACAAATGCTAGGGACCTGGCCACTATCAACTGAAATAGGTCACTAACAGCTGGGCAGCTACACAGCACAAACTGATGCCACTTTCTGTCCCACCTTCCCAGACCAGGAGCCATCACCCGGCTGGGGAGGGAAACTGAGAGCGTACGAAAACATGACTGAGGGGGGAGTGAGTGAGTGAGTCAGAAACAGAGAATCAAGTGGGGTAAAAGCTCTAATCTCGCTGGTTCTTAAATACACACTAGTATCCAGATCTACCACAGCTGTCATTTATTCTGTCTCACCCATGACACACAGTAAGTCTGGCAGAGACTTTATGTTATTGTTTTAAGATAGATTCTAAATGGTATTTTAAAATTGTTGTTTACATTTAAAAATATGCTGGGACAACTAAGAGCAAAAAAAAAAAGTCTCTGGAACAGACAATGCTGGAGAGGCAAAAGAAATAAGCACACAAGATGACTACAAGAAAAGGTCTAATTTTGGACATTGCTCAGCATCCAGCTTATACATCTGAGGGGTAACGTGACAATACGAAGACATGCATGTATTCACACTCTTTGCTCTGACAATCAGAACACAGCTGATATCAAAACAAGAGAGTTTAATAAAGTCCATTTTCAACTTAGTCATGAAAGAATAAGGCTAACAGAATAACCATCTCTAACACACAACCATGAAACTCCTGCCATCATATTCCTCCTCTTTTTAATCTCTCTCAAAACAGCTTCATCTTCACACCTATGATAAATCAGACTATTCTACCCAACATCAGTGTCATAATTCTGGTGCCTTTTCTGACTTCTCTCCCTCATCTGCTCCCCCCTGTTAACACCTGTCAATTTTTTCTTTATAACGCATTGCGAAAAAGCCCAAAACTTTACCCATCTCTTCTCTTTGCATGAAAAGCTTTGTCCATGTCTTGTAAGTTCTGTCTGGGCTAAGAAATTTCTGCAAGTTTGTCACAGTCACTGTTTCTAGTGCTCATTATCCTGAGACTACCAACGCCATCTTCCTCAGACTCTCTGATTATGCTTCCCCCCTTCAACTGACTTCCCCTTGCCTTCCCTGACAGGGATGCCTGTCCTACTTTCAACATACACTACTACAACGTGCATTTACACATTAGAGCTTTCTTTCCTTAACCTTACTTCGCTTTCTTCATTCTTCTCCAGCCTCCATTTAACTTCTTCCCACACTGACTTCCATGAGTGTGGTTCGATTCCTATGATTAGAACTACTACCTTAAGGCTTGGTATTAGACTCACACCCTCCTTGTCATTCCTTCCTGAACCACGTTGCTTCCATGAAAGCTTCCAATATGAATTAAACTAGAAAATTACATCAATCAATGTTGCTGTAATGCAACTCCTCTGATTCTTAGTGCACTATAAATAGACTCTTCAACAACAAATTCACAATTTAGCAACAGGCAGGTGTTGAAATAGTAGAGCCTAGATTTATCTAAGTCAAGGTATCCCAAACAGTGAAGACCTCTGTTTCAATGGGTTTCATTCTCCCCATTGCAGGCTCTTTATATATCAACATAGTTAAAAATACTCCATTTTGCCACTCTCCACAGACACATAGACTGAGGTGATAGGATGAAATGCACAAAAATTAAATTGGTCTTCACAGTACTTTCTTGACTTGTTGAATTAGAACCAATGTCTAACATCCTTCTCCATGGTCTTGTTCTACGTGTTTTAATTATCATGAATGCAAACTAGTTTTTCCTTAGTAGTGGCCTGGAACTTAAAAAAAACAAACAAACAACCAGTTTTCATCACATCCCACAAACATCTTTCAACATATCTTAAGCATGCTTTCAAGACTGTTAATTCCTAAATGGAGGAGAACATTACAAACCTTAGTGTTAAGTGCAACCTGTGATTCTTCTCCTGAAGTAGTTCTTTTACAGTGAACATCCCAGAACCCAACAAATACATCTGGAAGAAGATGAGTATTGGAATTGTGACTATTTGCCTTTACAATGAACAAAGGCTTTGTCCACAGCAGCAAAGCCCAAGATACAATTACTATGCACAAAAAAAAGCCTGAGAACAAACATTTAATTACATATGCTCATGCATAACTAATTAAACCCTTTTAAAATCTAATAAATTTTATAATTTATCAAAAATCCTTTTTCTATCAGAGGACAATAAACTGTTTTATTTCTCTAGAATTTCAGGGGAAGCACCTCAGTATATAGAAGCTTAGGCCCAGCAATACTGGAATGCTGAAAGCAATGACTGAACGGGACTCAAACTGAGTAGGTTGACACTTCATAGTCCCTCTCTGGCCCAAATTTGGCTCCTCCTGAAGAATGCACCTCCTCAGAAGGTATTCCTCTTTCCCCAGAGCCTCCCCACGATGCACTCTACAGAGGTGCCCTGCTACCCCTGAGGAAACCATGGGAAAGCAGGCACATGGGACCTGAAGCAGCAATCTGGGCAACAGCCCAGGGTGAGTTGCCCATAGATCCAAGTAGTTACTTGGCAGACCTGGCGCTAAAGACTTTTTCCAGTAAGGCAATAAATCTTACACCTGAACACAATCACTAAGGGATCAGGGCAGAGTGATTTTCAAGAGCAATACAAAAAAATTATGTGGGCAAAACAGCCCAGAGCATCTCTGTGTCAGGAAGCCAAGCGCATGGATGCTTTCCTGAAAGCAACCTCCTACTCAGATACAACCTCCTGTTTTGTAAAAACACTCACAAAATTTTGGTATTGTGGAATTCTTGATACTGGTAGTAGAAAGAGTAATTGAGACAACAAGTAACCATTTTTCATAACCAACTAGAAAGCGTTCCAAAATAGCTAAGTTCCCTCTGATGCTTTCCACTTTTAATTTGAACTCATGTCGCCTTCTGAGAAAACACTGGCTTTAGTGTGGGCCTGTTTTTTACTAAATTAAGTTTTGGACACTGAAATTATGATTTTTCCATTACTCCGGATTAAAAACATTTAATGGCAAGTTCTATCTTACAATTGGCGATCCTCTGCAAAAATACTACAGAAGCACCCAGGGCTCCATTGGACTTTTGTTTTCTCTTCCTTCCATTTCACACAACATAGATTAGAGGCCTGTAGCGGCCTCTGTTAGAATCTAATCTGCCTGAGTTCGTCACTGGTTTGCATCTAAATCTTAAGCAGTGAGAGAAGCAGACTTCTAAGATACTTCTAAAGTTCCTAAACTTAAGATAGACATGACTGCTCCCTGTGAAAAACTTCCACCAGACTGCGTCTACTACACACGGAATTTAGCAGCTCCATTTATAAGGACTGTTTCATTACGGGCTCAACATTTTGGCACAGGTTAGAGGCCTCAGTCAGGGACGCTGGATCCCATTTGTTCTCTAGTTCAGTAAAAACGTCCACAACAGAAGAGAACAAGTGACAGGACCTCTTAATTTAAATCAGTCGTTCCCAAAGTCGCTGCCAGCAAGCCTTATTTGAAATAACTGGCAACTCTTCCCACTCTGCCAAGTCCATCTCGCAGCATTTGTCCCTCCTTCCCGTACCCATGTTGCTTTCTCTAGGATTGATGCTGCTACCCCTTTGTCTTCCTCCACAAAGGTTATTAGTTTTTTCTCCTTGCCTCTTGTTTTTTCGCTCCACACTGACTGAGGAGGCAACAGAATAAAGAAAACTTACTGTTCCCTGAGATCTATCTTTGACATCATACACGGAGAGTTTGATTTGTGTCATTTGATTGATAAGAGAGTCTTGAAAAAAGGCAATGCTGCTTAGAAAGATAGGATTACTCGTTCCCTGTAAACATAAACAAAATAGGCAAAAATTAATGCAAGGTGATATTTGTTAGGAAGAAATGCTTCCTGTGCTAGCTTCAATTTTAAATCTAATCCAGGAGTACCTCACCACTTACCTCAATAATTTCTGTCTGTGCATGCTTCGTCCAGAATGCCTGAGGAGGTGTAGTTACGCTCACTGCTACAAAACTATTTGGTTTTCGATCTAGCGACGGAGTTAGCAGCTCACTGCAAGCTTTAGGTATGCAACAGATAAATAAATTTAGATTCAGGATCTTTTTCATACTGCTGTAAGACTTTACATTTTTATATAAGCATATTATATTATATATGCATATATAAGCATATATTATATAAGCATATATTGCTTATATATGAGCAACAAAGCGATGAAGGGCCTAATACTCATTCTACCACTCCACTATAAAGGCAGACATCACTCACCTTTGTGCATACAAACAGTAAATGTGCATCAGACCGGTCTGGCTCCAAGCTGTAGAGCTGTGATTTAAACTTGTTCTATGCTAACGCCCGCCTATCCACCCCCCTGGCAGAGCTCATTAGGACAGCGTATATGGGTAGGCTTTCCTCTGGGAATCTCATGAGCATGGCTGCATTTGATCTGAAGTCACGCTCCATTAAGCCCATTACCAAACAGCATTTTGGCATGGAGAACCAATAGAAGTGCTTGAACGTTGACCAAGCAGCACTGCTACGAGGAGAACTAGCTTGTAATTGTAAAAGGACAGTAAGTACTTCCCCTAAAGTGTTACTGTGAGTTTAACTGCTGGGAAGGGACTATGGTGAGCAGGAAACAACCACCAAAAATTTCAGTGAGTGACTCTACACAATTAGGTTAAACTTCAGAGCCAAATTCTGTCTAGCTAGATACAGCTAATTACAGAGTGGTCCAACTCTGCTTCAGCTAGATGCCTAAAGTTAATTCTAAAATCTACCTGGGCAAGCGAAATGTTCAAACATATACTAAATAGCTTTGCAGTTCTAGATATTTTTAATTTATCTGAAAATAATTAAAGTACCTTATTCAGTTCTAAGGAGTTCTTAAGGTTATTATTCATGACACAATTACATACATTTGAGAAAATTTTCTAATTTTCATTTCAAACATACTGTTAAGAGCATAACCTTCCAAACATTAGCCCACTATTAAGCTAAGAAAACCATGCTGCAGTTGAAAATGTAGACTGAATTTTCATGAAGAAAATATTTTTCCCTTATTCTTCAAGTGAGTTCACAAGCTTCTTGTCCAAATTTAACCATCCCAGAAATCAGGTCACTTCTGCATCTCACATTATCACCTGACAGCAAAGACCACAGGAAAGAAGGTATGCGTAATAGTTAGTAACTCTTACAAAATAATCTGTCCTAAAATGGTGTTTCCAGTAAATATTCAGTTTGCTTGAAGACCTGAACTACTGATATACTGAAACTGAAGACAGTTTCACTATATCTTCACATAAACAAAATAAACATTTAAAAATAGCATTCACATAGTAAACATTTAAAATTTTACAGGACAGATGCTTTAATTACAGACTTCTAAAAAAAAAAATCACAAAATTAAACTGCTGGCTGCTTATCAAAAGATACTGTACAGGCAGCAAGAAAACTGTATGCCATCTCCATAAAAATCACATCAAAGTTTCAATGCAAAAAGCACTTCAAAATCAACAATTAAAAAACCGCACACATACTCAACAGCATGTATTACCAAAATTAGCATAAAAATCACTACGCATACCTAAACTGAACTCTAAAATCGGCTCATCTGGATCCTGAATATTTCCTGTAAATCAGAAAAATTAACACAATATTAGCCAAATGTTGCTGTCATGTGAATACTTTCCTGAAGTTGCAGTCATACAGTAAAATAAATTTTATACACAAAAAAAGTCAGTATTTTTAATTCATGACTGGTATTTAAAATATTTCTATGGTAATCTTTGGTATCTACAAATGGTCTGAAAAACCTGAGATTAGCTCATTTTATAAAACATGTTAAAACATGTAAAACTGCAAGATTATATGGAATATGGGAATATAAAATGCCCAATCTCAGTAGAAAATAACAGGATTAAAGGCACTTAAGTGTCTGAGACACTAATAACTCCAAATTATTAAATCAGACACGTTTCCTCTGTGATCAGTGAATAGGAAGAAGTCTGAAAGTACCTGTCTCTCTTACTAATCAAAGAAAGCCTCTGGGGGTTACAATCCTAATTTACTCACTATAAAAGATGAGGGAGATCATTCACAGCTCCTTGAACTCTCTTGAAAATTTTATACAATGTCAAACAAGGAGGTTGCCAAGCCTTTTCCTAGACCTTGGCATTCTCTTGTTGGTTTCCCCCCCGTTGCTTATTTTTGGCTGATAAACTTAACTGCACAAAATCAAGTTTAATTTATATATTTTTAAATCCCTCTCCAATTTTAATATTTTGTCTATTTTAAATATGAAGTTTAACTATGTAATTTTTTTAGTATAATTCCTTTATCTCGTTCCTTCCAGATAACCAGATACATCTAAATCTTCTAGCAATCAAAAGAAAAAAACAATGTTAGTACAAGGTAGATTCTGAAAGGAGCAACAGAGCCACGGCTGGCATGAAGCTACCTACCTGCTAGAGAAAGGCCCAGCAAGTCAGAGGTGACATCAATGGTGGAGGCCCGCTGCACTGTGCGGGACTTTGCCCCATGGCGGGGACTGTGTTCTCTTGCTGTCATTTTGTCATGAAGAACCCTTCTTTTCTCACTGCTTGGCTTTACCGATGTTTGTCTTACTGAATAGCAGATTGTGTCTCCAGCTTCTATTCCTCTAACATTACCACACTACACAATAAAGACAGCAAAAACATACACCAAAATTTTAGGCCACTGTCAGCTACTGTCCCTTTAAACAGCAGCAAACCTACTGCCATAAAATTGCCTCAGGTCATTCAGATAAAACGCTCAAGGCAGATCCAATGCACAGTAACTCGATTTGCAAGAACCATACATCTGTAGCGTTTTACTGTACATTGTTGAAGACTGTAACACATGCAAGAACGGCTCTTCTGTCAGAGAATGGGGGTTGCGAGAGACTCGTTAACAGACCAGCTGCTCTTCTCCTTTGTCTAAGTTATTAAACCATCCTTAACGAAGTTTCCTCGTTTTCATAATCCCTGGGGAGCACAAGTAAATTTGTCAGATGGGGCCTCTGTCTGCAGAGGCAGGACAAGGGGTAAGGACAAAGGGACAACGGGTCAGCAGAAAGCAGAACAAAAGGGCGGGAAATGTTGTTGGTGTCAGCCCACTGTGTCCTTCCAGGCTCTACTGCCATGAGAAAGGGACACTGAAAACTGTAAATAAAACCTACTGGACCAGGGCGAGGCTAAAATTCTGGGTTGGTGATACAAAGAAAAAGCAAAAGGGCAGAGTCTGTGCTTTTCCTTCACCCTACACTTTATTGGTCTACAGACATCCATGACAGTTGTTCTTCCCCTCGCAAGGCCTACAAAGTATAATGTTACACTAGGAAGGAAACCCACAGCCTATAGAAAATTTGGTTACGTTGTTAAATGTGGTGCCTTTGGTCTGGCTGATAAATTTGAATGTTCCTTATGTCAGCCACGCTAGCACCACGGTTATGGAACTTTTGTATTCATTTCATTCTACTATGACAAACTCCATTCATTTAGGAAGTGAGATTAGGAGCAAAATTTGACAAACCTGAAAGGTGACAGTGACTAATTCCTAGTCACTACAGTGACTAATTCCTCTTAGGCTGAGGGACTTAACAATGGGCAAGATGCACTCTAATTAAATAAAACACCTAGCTTTCACTTGTGTTCTAAATAGGCATTTTAAAACTGTCTGAAGGCTTCCAAAGGAACATTCAACCTACCTAACTTAAGCCTCTAAATTTAACTAGTCAGCATCTCCTTCTGGAGGTTTTCAAAACAATCTCCCTTTCTCCACAGGGAACTCCAGCATCTTCTTAACCAGCACTGTTCACTGGACACCTAAAATTCAGATGCAAGTTAAGCACCTAAGACAAATGAATTGAACACAACCCTGGCCATCCACATGAGCTTAGGAATGAGATTTTAAATGGGGAGCTCATTCTAGGGAGGAAGGAATTTGGATGGGCCAATCTATTGCTACTCAGAACTAATAGTTTGCCTCAGTGATTCAACTCAGGTTTACACAATATGTCATAAGCCAGTTCTAAATAGGAAAAAAGTAAATTCTTGAGTGGAAGAAGCAGAAACTGAGAGCTCTGAACGTCCCATCCACAAAAACTTTGAAACTCATTGACAGCATACAAAACAACACTCCGCTTATGGATATAATTTATGACAGTCAAAAAATTAAAGAGGGCAGTTTTCTAGTTCGTACGAAATCACAGAAAAGTTGAGGTTGGAAGGGATCTCTGGAGTTCATCTAATCCAACCCCCCTGCTCAAAAGCAGGGTCACCTAGACCAAGTTGCTCAGGACGGCATCCAGTTGTGGTTTTTGTTGCAGAGTTACATTTAATCAACTAAATTCTTCAAACATATTCTGTTCTTTCAGCTGTATTTTTATGTTTGAATAACTTAGCGTCGCATGAATGAGCAAGAGAGTATGAGCTCTCTGGAATTCCAGGTCTCTTGTCACGAGCTTATCCTGGCCTGGTTGCTGGATCCAGGCAGGCAGGCCTCGGCACCAGTGTGAACCGGGAGATAAGGAGCCTCCTACTGTCAGAGGAAGCTGTAATTCTTTCAGATAAGAACTGCTAAAGTCACGGCCTGTCTGGAGACAGAGGAATAATCCAGTAAGGAACAAAAGGACCCCAGACCAAGAATTACCATTGGACCAAGAGGTGCGTGCAAGGCGCATGAGGAGTGCAGGTACAGCTTGTAAGGGTATAAACGCCCAGGGATTTCTTTGTTCTGAGTCCCTCTCTTAAAGAGGCACCCAGTTCGGACCATTTCTCTTCTGTACCTTTCAATCTATTTCATTAATTAAATTACTTTATAAGCATAGACATCTGAGATTATGCTACGGGAAACCTAGGGTCAAGAACATTTCTTTGACAGTTTTGTACAAGTGGTTAAGGGGATAGAGAATCACCAGTCTTTCTCAAATAGTACTGAATGTCCTAAGATTTGGTGAAATAAAACTTCCATCAAAATTCTTTTCCAGTTTCCAAGTCTTTCCATCCTACTAATTTTTCTTTCTTTCTTTCAGCAACAGGTTTTCCTCGGTTTGTTCTTTACGTAATGTGACGTTTAATGGTGTGTAAGTCCATTAAACCTAACTGCCCAATGAAACAGAACACCTACAGAATGTGCTTGCAGAGATTTAGGCAGGATGCCATAGCCCCTTCCCCCAAATCCTACAAATACGTTATCAGAGAATAACTAATGTGTTCACACAGGTACAGTTAGGTTAAAAAGTCCAGTTGTTTTTCAGGTAAAATCTCTGTAGTTGATGACATCCTTAAACAGGATCAATCCTTGAGAAGTTAAAATAGGGTCAGTATCTTCTTTGTTTTGAAACTATTTCTATTTAAACATCACCCAGCATAATTTTCCAAGGCTCTCTAAGTTTTCAACTATTCATTTAAGTTGCAATATTGATTTCTCATGTAATGATACATTTTTAATTTAATTACACTGATCATACTTACAGAGGGCTCTTTTCCTCATGTGTGGAGGGATTTTACATTTCATAACATCAGTTAAGTCCACATCTAAAAAATTAACAAAATAATCAACATAAGTAATCAATCTTATTATACAGCATAAATTACAAAAAACAGGCAGGTACCATTCTCAGATTAACCGTAAATTTAACTTCTGATTACTAGCTCTCACACTAGAGTTTACTGAAAATAGAAAGAGTCTGATCCTCTGTTGGACCTCACCCAGCCCTAGTCATAGCAATAGCCAGTCAGAGCAGGAGCACAAAGAAATAAGTGTATGCTGAAAAGGACTGACTTCAGGTCAGCTTTGGTGAGTGGGTGGAATGGCTGTCAGAAACATTTATTAAAATCTTTACTGAAAGGCTTGGTGCTATTAAGAAAAAGGAATGTGTATGATACACTGAGCATGAGACAGCATTTGTTATTATGCCTGCTTTTCTATAGTTAAACTTCGTTAAATTTTGCTGTTTGGAAGAGTTATAATCGCCACTGTCAGGAGAAAAGATCCTGTGTCAAAACACAAGTTCAAAAGGTCAGGATGTAGGGCTCTGTCCATTTGGTGAGATTACTATGCGAGAGAGGCTTCTATGAACAGCTAGCAATAAACATACAGGAAAAGTGAATAATTTTTAAATCTACTACAGGTTAACTGAAGATTTGTATTTGCTAGTGATACCACCTCATTCAAGTACATTCACACTAATAAGATATGCCTTTTAAGACCTCCTGTATGCCGTACTACTATAAAAGAGACGGGGAAGTCTAGTCTGAGCTTTTTGATTTAATCACCAGCCATTCCAACTACCCAAGATTGCTTAAGAACATCGGTATGAGCTGTCACCGCTTATGGAAAGGATCTTATCTCACCTAAACTGCATAGGAAGCAGGTATTTGATCTCAACTCACTGCCCAGGTTCTCTACATAGTCAATGGTGAGACACAGGCACTTCTAGAGCATGAGTCACCATTTTCCAGGGTAGGTGGGATGAATCACCCCATCACTCACTCTCTCTCTTTCTAATTATAGGAGTAATTTAGATGACTAGGTTAGGCCTGGTGCCGCAGCTGGGCAAACTTTGAGACTGTCCTTTTCTACAGCCATAGTGCTCTGGGTTTACGGCATTTGACTGGGTGAAGAGGCATGCCAAAGCAGAAAATGCAACAGCAGGGAAGGCTAAATATTACTGATACATCTATATGAAGAGAATAATAGAGAAAGGGAGAGTGTGACAGCTTCTTTAATGCTTTAAAAAAACGGGGTGCAATCCTACTACAAGTTTACCATCATCTCCAAGGGGGAGTGAAAAAGTAGTTGTGGGGCGCTTATTGAACTGTAGTTAGTTTTACCACTCTCTAGACTGTAAGGTCCACTCTCTGAACCTTACAAATTAGGGTTCCTGTTCCTGAAGATTCCATTTCGAAACATCAAGAGGGCTCCTTCAGCCAACTGCACTCTTCAGACAACATCTTGGTAAAAAGTTTCTCTGGCTGACAACGTTTCAGCAATACACAAAGAAGTGGAAGTGAATACTGCTTGATACTTGTAAGTATTTTGGACCTACCACATGGCCATGTTTCCACCTAACATCCTATTAACTGTACCATTATGGACAAAACAACGGAAAGGATGAAATGCCAGACTATGCTAAGTTATGACTATGTTGTCTTCCATGTAACACCACTATCTCTAGTATACTAGCATACAGACTTTTTTTTTTTTAACCTCCAACCATAGAAAACCTTGGTAGTGAAACAAGATTTGCCATGCTGGCTTAAGACCAATCTTTCAGCAATTCCACCGTCCCACAGCTGCTTCACAGAAGCTGCAAGGAACTTTATTGACTATGCTTCAGGGTCTGAGGTGAAGGTCTGGATCAACCTATCACTCACGGCTGCAGAGGCAGCCCAAGAGCAGAACGTCAGCTCAGAGCACAGCAGCTCCCAGCAAAAGCCTGCTAAGACCAACACTGATTAAGAGTTACTTTTTTTAGAATCTCACAAGGACTTCACTCTTCTGTCTCATTTGATGAATGTCCTGAATCGCACACAAATCACAACAACAGGAAAACTCCGAGCCATGAGCTTGACACCTTGAGTCAGGTTCTTCCTTCTGCCCAAACTCATCAGGGTGGTAACACCAACTACATCTACTGCAGATGCACTGGTCAACAACAGAGTTTCACTCCCCTTTAGTTATCCCATGATCTGGGACATCTAACTTACCATGCACCTTGTGGTGCCAGCATCCATTATGGACCTTTGCCTCCAACTGAAATGACTTCCCCACCAAGAACATGCTGGGCAGGTGCTAGTCCATCAGCTCCACAAAGAGGCTGTATTTCCCCCTCTCAGTCTGCCCCTTAAATCTAGGTTCTCCTCTCAAGCTGGCTCAATGTCCCCCTCTTCCACTGACCAGAATCTTGATTACCAAGGACAAAAATCTAAGCTTGCCCTGAAGAGTCTTCTTGCCACTCTCTGAAGCCCTCCTCAGGATTCTGAGCAAGTGGGTGACCTCAGCAAGAACAGGGAAAAGTCTTCCAGAAGAAAATGAAATAAACCACCGCAAGATACAATGAATGTATTTGTGCAGTGTGGAAATCCCCAAATGCAACCATTCAGTGATATTTAGATAAAAGGCCATTTCAGCCGCAGAAAGTAGCTTTCTTTCTCTTTGCTTTCCTGTGCACCCTCTCCCACTTGCTTATAGACAAATCTATAAGTCACAGACTTTATTCTTGATCCTTCCCCCCTATGAACTTCAGCACTCTCAATTAATCTAAAAACCTAATTTTATCTCTTTAATATATTTGAGTACTTTTAATAGAAAACTGCAATTTAGGCCACTTAGGTCTTTGTGCAAATTAAGACTATTTGGCTATATTCACAACTGGAATACAATTAGCATTCTTAACTTAATGAGCTATTGTTTTACTTTCACTTGTCATCAAATACTTCTATTTCTTCAGTACTCCTATGAGCACAATAATATGCACACCCACATGTAGAAGTAAACATTTGTAACACATACTCTTGCTAACTAAAGAAGAAAAAGCACAGCTCTGTTTCATTTTGCAGAACAGCTTTGACCTAGTTGAGCACAGCATAATGCCATGGAAAATGACTGGTTTTGCTACAGAGCAGTTTGAAGTCCAACCCTCTCGGCGTAATCTACTGTTTTCCCAACAGAAACTGAAACAGCTTATAGATGGTGTTTACTCTAAATTATTCTTTACCCTCTTCACAAGAAACGTGTTGGGTACATGGTGGTGAAGTTTCCTGTGCACGGGATGACATTTCTCCTCATGACCTAGGGCTCTCACACTACCCATACAGACACGCAAAAGCCCATGAGAACAGGGGACATATTTTCTGTTGAGGAGTTTGGACTGGAAACACATTTCTGAATTAGATAGTCCTTTGGACATGCTCCTAAAGCCTGCCTCTTCTTAAGCCTTCTTTCACCATAACCATGACGCTCACAAGGCAGAAACAGCATTGCTCAAACTGGAAAAAACAGAGAGTTTAACCCCCTCTCTGAGCTCCTCCTGCCACAGGAAAGGGTGAGGCAGGGGAACAAAGGCAGAAAAACAGAAAAAAAACCAACAGTTTATGACTTGAAATGGAGATGAACTAGCCACACCTTCACTTTTGCTAAAGATTACATATTGCTGTTGATTAGAGACAGGTAGCAGTAAAATATCCTCCAACATACAGGCAATGAGAGAGAAGGACCATAGAAGACACAGAGGGATAAAAGCACTGAAACTAGATCTGTAATCAGAAATTTTGGGCATGCTTGGATTACATCAAAAAATTTAGGGAACTATCTGATCTATCTGCCCATAATCCTCATCCACTTCACAGACTAACATAGCACTAGTTAAAGCCAGTGTGTTCTGGTCAAAGCAATCAGCAGTCAGCACTGTCCTCTATGTGTTTGATGGGATCTCTCATTCTGCTCTGAAATCACTGGGTTACAGTGAGCTTCACCTGTGCAACAGGGCTGCACTCCAGGGTCACAGACTAGCCAGTCATTTACTTTCCTTACACGACATTTTCCTACATGGAAGGAAAGCTCCATTAGTTCACAGGCGCACTGGAAAAATCTCCCAAGCACTTTTCATTTTTACATGGCATTGCTCTGACTTGCTGTGATTCCTACGCTTACTGTTTAAAACATTTACATAAATTAAAAATACATAGCAGCATCAGAGGACAAAGCAGAAATGTGTGACTTCTTTCTCTAACATGTGTTTTCAACAAGCCATAACTAATTGACTCAGGAAATGAAACAGTGTCAAGTATTTAGAAAATTTAAAATAAATGTTAGTGTGGGAGTAATATTCCACAAAGACTATTAACCAGGACTTAGGCAGCATAGCAAAACTAGAGTCTCATGCTACTAATACAAATCTGCTGATGCATATCTCTCCATCAACATCTGTTGCGTCGTCCTGAACTGTGTTTTGTGTGTGTATTTCTGATCCATATATCCTTTTTTCTTACATAGTGCATGCCAAGACTATGCCTAATGGCCTTGATACTGGATGACTTTTCAAATGAAATAATTCTTTTTTGGTTCCAGATATCTGACTCCTCTGTGCTGCTTTCACTTCTTCTTCCTGGAAAATAAAATTATTTGTTTGTTTACTCTGAACTTTCTAAATCAATGGGACAGAGGGTTGTTGCGGGCCAAGATGCTGACTGCAAGGCTCTTCCCTGGATTCCTTTCTGGAGTCCTGTAAACAAGTGGTGGGATGCTGACAGTTTGGAAGCATAACCATCCAACTCCACCCAGACCAGGAACAGTCTGTGCTTCCCACCACTGTTCCCATTTCAGCACCTCGGTGGGATACCTGTCCTACTGAAAGGAACCCTTTTTCATGTCAGTCCTACCCTGTGGGTTAACACTCAGCTCACCCTGCAAGCTATAGTAAGGGGTGGGGGAGGTGTGCTGGTTGAGTGTCTTGCCCTTTTCTGAAAATATTTTCCTTGACAATCTATTTAGACAGCATGCAGACCCCACATTGCTG